GGAATGGCAATGGCAACCCACCTAACGAGGAAGGCAGAAATTGGCAGGAAATGCACCTTATCCCTACACAGGCCGCAAGTCACACAGAGAAGCATTCTGTAGTGCAAATGAGCATGTAATTTGTAATGCCCAGGCAAATACACACCGCACTTTAATAAAGTACACCGTTTAGGAATAAATGCATTAAGCATAAACAACGTATGGTACAAGCCATAGAGTTCATTTTTTAGGATCCCAGCTTTTCAGTCCATATCTCTTTTAGCAACAGTGTAATGAAAATATACCAAAACACTTTTTAGATGAAAATATATGAAGTAATACTCTCTTCTAATCTGAATGCTTCATAATCACAAATCTCTAAAAAATCTCTGATATATCACAATCCTTAAAAAAAGCAAAACCCCTCCAAAGTGATAAAGTGTTCTTGAGCTTAAATCTTACCAAAAAGACATATTCCATATACAGTTCCATGTAAACTTAATTTAGGAAGCACAGCTTGGGGATCTTTAATAAACTTAGTAACACATACTTAAGTCTAGCATTACAAATATCAAAAACTAAGAATGGACTAGTTTTTTGCTCCAGTCCAGCACTGTGCCTTTTGTTTTAGTGAATGACATTTGCTAATGATGACAGACACCCAAGATACTGTGAGATTTGGAGCAGACACCTCAATGTTCTGAATTATTTCAATCACCCCCCCCCCATTTTTGGCATTAAGCCAGAGAATTCAGAATGGCAAAGTAATACAATCAAAACTATGGGCACAATCCAGGCTGCTAAGGCTGATCAGTTCAAGTTACATTCCATTTCAATAGAAGAGTTAAGAGAATGCTTAACTTCTCTCTTCACAGAGAGTAACAGGGTTTAAAAGTGCTTAACTGTGATTGGTGTGTGTGTGTGTGTGTGTGTGTGTGTGTGTGTGTGTGTGTGTGAGAGAGAGAGAGAGAGAGAGAGAGAGAGAGAGAGAGAGAGAGAGAGAGCGCGTGCGCGCGCGCGCATCCTTGAAAAACTTGTATTACTCGTATTCAGTTACTACTGAAACACTCCTTAGTTTGAAAAGTAGTAGTGCCACCTCAGGGGCACCGAACAAGTCTCAGCATCACTCTTTGGATCTCAGCTCATACCTTAAAACTTAACCACCCTCCCCCACAAAAAAAAAAAAAAAGAATAATTGCAGCATAAGCTTTTCTCTAACCTGATGTGGAACTGGTCCAGGGACTAATTTAGAGTTTCTAAATGAAGTCATGCAATTATGTCTACATACATACTCATTAAATGTATGCAAAGAATGCATCATCAATGGATTGGATGGCAAAGCATTTGAGGAAGTGAAACTCTGCCCTGCTACAAGTACAGTTTTGTGTGCCAGTATAATTTGTTTTGGAGAGCAGAGTTCACAGATGAAGGATTGAGTTGGCCCACAGAGAAAACAGGTGGCCACTTCAGTATAAACTAATGTCACTTGACATTTATTTAGATTCTGCTGAATATGGCCTTTTAGCAGAGTGCAAAGTTATTCTATTGGACTAGTAAGTATTAAACTGCACAATACTTATGCAAGTTCAGAAGCAGTAATTGGTTGAGGTGAATTTAAACCTCTGCTGACAAATGTACAGCGCATGCTTTTGCAATTTCTATCATTCGCAATTTAGGTATTTGGGGAAGCGGTCACATTTCAAAAATATTGTGCTATTTCACTGACTGGCAGTGAAAATCACCAACTGTACAAACCAACTGTCTTTTATTCAGCTTGCAAGGTGGATTTATAAGTAAGTAACTGCAGAAGAAGAAAATGCAGAGTGAGAACCAAAGAGCTACTGAAGGCAATTTTCAGAATAAATATGGCAATCCTCCCCAGCCTGCTACCTTCCAGAAATGTAGGATTGGAACTCTAACAGTTGCAGTCTAACACACTGAAAGTCAGGCTAGGGAAGGCTGCCCCATGATATGGGGGCACTGCTATTTGAGAAAAGCAAATTTAAATCCTTCTCTTGCTCTGGGAACTCATTTTTGCAGTTTGTTGGAGTCTGGCCAAGCTGTATGACAATTTAGATTGGATAAAAGAAAAATAGGAGTATGATTCTGGTAGCTTAAAAATATGGTGCATCTCTGTGTGTGGGGGGGACTATATTTAATTGTAAAAGACTAGTTCACAGACATTTGTAATGAATATTTCCATTCTATATTTTGCTTGCAAACCCTAATTATCAAGAGCTTTAAACTTCTGCCATCCATGAAAGAGACAATTCCATTTTTAAAATTACATGAGAATCTTTTACAAAACTTGCACAATTGCCCAGTTTTATTCCGGGCATTGCAGAAGTATGTACAAACCACAATGTAGTCTAATCATTCGGAAGACAGATGCATAAAGACAAGTTGGCTGTAACTGGCTGCCTGTAGTTTGCAGTCCTTGCTGTGTAACATGCAATGAATAAAAAGAGACTTGGTGAAAATGGAGTGCAACAGGCAATGGATCCACAGGTGATGCTGGAAGAAATGTGGGCCCCAAGAGCTGGTACGCATCGAGTCTAGTTAAGGTCCTTTGGGTTAGGTGGGTCTATTGAAGCACCTTTGCGTCCATCCTGGTTCTTCCAGAAGAATCTCGATACCACAGCAGCAAAGCAACAGCACGTGCTTCTTTCGTGCAGAAGCGGCTGTGGAGGCAGCCATCACACAGCTGGTGAGAGCGGCTGCAAACAGCCATGCCTCCTGCAACCAGAGCTACTTCTGCGGGTCCTCTGGGTTGCAAGAGGCCTGCGCTAGTGTTCCAGGCACCTCCTCACTAGTGTCTGCAATATCAAGGGGAGCACATGGTGAGCCCTCCTCTGCCTAGCCGCACCATTCTGAACATTTGGCGGCAGGAAGGAAGTGTCTAAGTGCCAATTTTCTTCTAGTGTCGTGCATGCCCTCTCCCCGCCTCTGAATGCAATCGGCAAAAGGCTGACCTGTTCTCCTTAAATACACACAGATGGGGTATTAGAGTAGATGGCTGTGAAGTAGTCCTACAGCTTCTGGGACAGCCGCAGGAAAGGACTTCTCTGGCCATTGCCAGATGGAGAAAGGCAGCTTCAGCATCTGTGCAATGGGGAGCCTTTTAAAACCTGAAAGGTGCCATCGTGCATCTGCGTAATGATTATGAGAGTGCTTGGTGCTACTGCTACTGCTTTGGTATTCATGGGTCATGATATTTCTCCATAATGTGGCACCATTCAGGAGGTTCCCCACCCCCCGGAGAGGAATATTCTGCTAAAGTATGTCCATCTTTTATTACAGCTATGTGAAATAATACTGAACTCAAGCCAACTCCCATGCTTAGGTTGCTTTCTGTGGTTTCTTCCAGCAACAAAACAATACTGGCTACAATTGACTTTGGCCATGAGGAGTTCAGAAGTTTTGATCAGCTACAGTTGAGTGGTGCATCAAAACCTTAAACTGTGGTTAAGCTTAACTTTTGCTTAAACAACAATTAAACAAGCAAGAGTATGATTGCCCATAGTTTGCCTAGGTTCAGATATGACAAAGTGTACAATGTGTGGTTAATCAAAAATAGCAGTGGCCTCCTTGCAGATGCACCAAAGCAAGAAAATGGGGAGCAGGAGAGCCCAAGGGTCACTGTGGTTTGTTCTTGTAACTATAAACTATTGCTTACTATTAAGATCATAGCAACATTTGAATGCAGATCATAGTAACATTTTGTGTAATGTTAACTAATATCAAGGATAGAAAAGATCCTCTAGAACTCAAAATACTAAGAAATGCCAAAGTGAAACTGGTGTGGAAAACATGTAAGCAAATACTACCTCACAATTACTGGCATTAAGACAGAAAATGTGTCTTATCACTACAGATCTCTCAATGTCTTGTTTTTTTTCTATACAATCAGTATACAGCCAACCACAACCAGTTTCATACCCAACAAGGACAAAGCCAGAGATCAGAAGGAGTGATTAAAAGAAACAAAATTTAGAACATTACTCAACAGAGAATAAACTAATACATCTTTCAACTTAGTGTATCAATATTATATCTATCTACATATCTGCATCTATATACAGATATAAAGATATACATATTAATGCTGAAATAGATTAGTTTACTCTATTGTGCCATAAACTACACATTCTAGATTTGGCATTAGGGTTGCCAGTATCAGTCTCACACAGTTAAAAGATTTTAAGGAATGAAATTAGAAACCTCAAACTAGAAACCAAAATTATGAACAAATGATGCATTGCTGCAGAAAAACAAAATATTGTAGTGCATATAAAAGGGTCTGCAATAGAAAAATAGACAAAAGTACAGCAGGAGAGCTTCCCCGTTGCTGCTGTTTCATCGAGTAGTGTGGAACAAGGAAGCATGGCACACAAATGCGACGAACGGGAGGGGAGGGGGCTCAGTCCATGCTAAGCTGTCACTCTCCATCCCGTTTGCCTGAGCATGTCTCCCTGCCAGGTCTCCACTGCATCGCATCCAGCCATTGCCAGCCAAGATGGGGAATGTGAGCAATTTGTGCATGGCAATCTGGAGAGGCACAAGCTGCTGGATCCCCCCGTGTGGGGCCATGAGCGCCCCCCCCCACCAGAGTAGGAATGGCCAGGAAATTTGGTAGTGAAGTGGGTGCACTGGCAGCAGCACCCGCAGAACAGAGGACAGGTTGCTGCCGCAGGAGCCAAATGATTTGAAGCATCTTTGCACAACTAATCAGCAACATAAAATCATCCATTCTGCACGGCCTTCATTACAGTTGTTTGGCTTACACCTTCAAACAGGGAATGATATTTTAATGGCTTAACAGGGCGAAAAACTTATTTTTATAAAATAAGCTGCTTCCAGGGAGGAAATAGTAGTGTGTGTGTGGGGGGGGGGGAACAGTATAAAAAGCACATTATAATGTGATCTCTGCTTTATTCACTTGTTGCATAAAGCAAAAATGGGTGAATGAATTGCGGAAGGGCTACCCAGTGCAGAGGTCTCTGATCAATTTGTGATGTGTGGATCTGTCTCGCGTCAGCCACGGGGTGGTCGCGGGAGCGCAATGTGGGACAGAGCAGCAGCCCATCTTGGCCTGAGCAGTGCAGTGCAGCTTTACCGGGTAGACTCCCCTTCATCCAGAGCAGGGCGCCACACTGGCTCCACAGCTTTCCTTTTCCATCAGCGCCCCACTTCACCAACTGACGCGCTCTCCGTCTTTGACTCCTTCACGTTTCCAGTTTTTTTCTGTTTCTGTTTTGATTTCTTTAACATGCGCACCTGTAACAAGCATTGGTTAAAGACAACATTTAGGCAAATGCATCTTTATCTGAAGGAACCATAGGTACTTTAAAAATCGACCACAGTTTTAGATCCGGGTCTCTTCTTTTATATTTATCTATAGTAGCAAAATGCATAGGAAAAGACTGCCTCACATGCAACTGTAGGTAGTTTCTTAAAAATTAAAATTAAAAATATTAAAAATAAAAATAAAATTCAATGGCATAATTGACATGGGTTCTGAACTATGTCACAGCATATACACATGGAAAAAATACCCCCCCCTGTTTCTCATACACTCAGAGGGAGGGAGGGAGAGAGAGAACATAGCAAAGAAGTATATATTTACTCAGTCTTTAACATGTGCTTCTTTCTAAGAACATATGAATCAGGCAACTGTGAAGATGATAGAACTAGCATGTGAATGGCTGGGTGAACACTAGGAGTTTTCAGGCTTCCATTCCAACTCGCTGTATCATTTTAGGTTCTTAATGAGGGCTCACCAGCATGACTGCTACTTCATACATAAAACATTTTGTACAACGAGATCTAGATGTCTGGAAGAAAAACTCTGGCCAAGCTGGTATTCTAGGTAGAGGAAGGGTTTTGCATGGAAAATCATTGCGTTACTGTTAGTCTCCTCCTGCAGTCTGAAGTGATACATCCGAGACACAACTTTATCTCAGACAGTGAGAATGTGGTCCAGTTTAACACAACACACCCCACTTGTTAAGCCTTGTATCTGCACCCCACTTCCTGGCACAGCATGGATGAAAACTTCTGAGTGAAGTAACCATAGCCTCCCAGTGTGAATGCAGTGGGGCACACTGGTTAATTAACCTAATTAATTCTGGTTAATTCACATAGGAAGTCTTCTAAATCATGATATACCAAGCAGAGGACTGAAGCAGCAGACACAACACTCGTGTGTATCTTGGGCCAATATGCTGAGATGTGTCATACCTGAAGAAGGGAAACCTGAAGAAATGTTTTTAATATTTACTGTCTATTAGGTGTAAGTTGTATGTTTTTAAGGGCAATGATTCTGAGAGATCCATTTCTTTAAATGAATGAAGCATGTTTGACTTAAGACATGTACAAATACCTTTGGTCCTGCGACAGAAATTATGATCTGGCCTGGTGGCTGAATCCAGGGTTCTCCATCTACTTGTACGGGAATCGGTTTCAGAAGAGTTACACGGAAGTAGGAACCTTGCGCTATCCGGATGCCTGAACGGAGGCCTCCCTGCACTTGACCCTGTTGAGAACAGTCTAGTCAGAAGAATCATTTGTAAAAAACCAACAGATTGTCATTATCATTATTTTCATTCCTATACCGTCCAATAGCTGAAGCTTCCTGGCAGGTTTACAGCAGTACACAAAAACAATATAGTAAAATACAATAAAAGTGCAATAAAATCTTACCAAAACAGAAAGATAAAAAGTTAAAAATATACCATGAAGAATAACTCTGTAAAAGAAAAATACTTGAGGGGGTAATCCCCTCAAGCCCCTAGATATCCAAGTCTATCTTTAAAAGCCCCAGTATAAAGGGCAATCTTAAACTGGTGCCAAAAAGGTGACAAGGTCGGCCCCAGGAAAGCCACAGAAGTGAAGTATCTCCATGTGGGGGGGGGGACCACAAAGCTCTCCCCCTTGTTGCTGCCCTTCAAGCATCCCTTGGATTTGGCACTCACAGGAAGGTTCTGGATGTTGAGCGTTATCTCCTGGTAGGCTGCTGTTGGGAGAGGTACTCCATCAAGTTTGGTGGTCCCAATCCATGTACAGGTTAAAACCAGCACCTTGAATTGGGCCCAGAAGCATCCAGGCAGCCAATGCAGGCAGGTGAGAATCGGTCATATGATCCCACTTATTATGGGTACCACTTATTAATCCGGCTGCCACATTCTGCAGCTTCTCTTCAAGGGCAGCTCTACCCAGAGTGCACGGCAGCCATCTAATTTAGAGGTGACCAGTGGGTAGATTACTGAAACCAGGCTATTCCTGTCCAGATAGAGGTGTAGCTGGACCACCAGCTGCAGCTGGTAGAAGGTGCACTGAGCCACTGAGGCCACCCGAGCCTAGAATGACTCAGATGAATCAAAGGGAGTCCCCAGGCTATGAACCTGCTCCTTCAGGGGGAGTGTAACTCCACCTAGATCTGGCTGAACTCCATCCATCCAGTCAGAGGACCACCCACCAACAGCATCTCAGTTTTGTCAGCACTGAGCTGCACTTTGTTAGCCCTCCTCCAGTCCATGGTTGCAGCCAGGCGCGGGTTCAGTACAGCTACAGCCTCACCTGCTGACAATGGAAAGGAGAAAGAGAGCTGCGTGCCATCAGCATACCGATGGCAGTGCACCCCAATACCCCAGATGACCCCACGCAGTGGTTTCACGTAGATGTTAAATAACACGGGGGGCAGAACAGACTCCTGAGGAACTCCACACAGCAGAATCCACAGAGCTGAACAATATTTCCCAAGCATCACCTTCTGGGGAAGACTCTCTAAGAAGAGGGTGAACCACAGTACCCCCCATTCCCAACTCAGAGAGTTGCCCCAGAAGGATCCTGCAATCAATTATCAAAAGGATAATTGATCACAGGATCAATTATCCTGGGAGGACCAAGAGTATCACCAGTGCCACACTCCCCTGTCACACTATCTTAACAAGTATTAATGTTATGATAAACCCCTTATTTATTTATTAGCTGCCAAATAGTCCAGAAATACTCTCTATTTAAAACTGGATGTTACAGTTTTAGAAATAACTTTAAAGGTATTTTTCCACTCATGAAACATTTCAAAGCATTATAGCTTCACAGCATTTTTGCCAACAATGCAGGGTATTCTTTTCATTTAAATACCAATGCTATTTGACTTACAGGTTAAACCATTCTGTGTCAAGTCTAGTGGAATAAATGCTATTAAAGTTGGTAGCACACTGTGTTTATGAATGGATCAAATCCAGGAAACATTTAGAAATTGGGTGCTAATGATTCAGATGCATTTAATCAAATGCACTGGTGTTAAATACTGGACTTACCATATGAACAACTCCAGTGACACCAACAACTTCCAGCAAGCCATCATCGATTCTTGGTTTCTCAAACCGATTATCATTATCAGATCCCCAAAGATCAGCACCTGATCCCCAACTAAGCAGAATGAAACAAGGTAGCCATTAGTAACTTTTTTTCCCCCCAGGAAGTCCATTTGCAAAAAACTGGTAGACCTGGTTTGCCTGATACAAGAAATCATTTTGGCTAACTATCCAAACCCAGCCTGCCTCCTTCTGGCTTATTTTGAAACAACAAGTCACCCTAATAACCCATGGCTTCTTACGGGTTGCACAATCCACAAAAGGGTGTTGTGTCATTCGACCCCAGTAAAGCAACATCATGATGGGTGGAAGGACTGTCTTCTGAGGCAGTCAGCAAGACTGGCAACTTCCCATCACTCTTTATAATCTCAGATGCACTGCTGACAGCCCACTGACTGATAGCAAAGTGGGACTTTGGAGTGACTGTCACTGGTTTGCCACCCATTCTAAAAGCTAATGCTGCCTCAGAAAACTACACAATTCTGTTTCTCATCCTTGTCATCACTGTTGTCACGGTCCTCAATAGTCTTTTGGAAGAGCACTCTTGGGGCTATCTAATACATGTAGCCTTGTCTGGGTAACTTCCTTGTCTACTTAAGCTGGTGAAAGGAGAGTGAAGTGGAGCAGCTCATAGGTTGATCAGGTGAGACTGCATACAGGCTAATTCGCACAGAGCTGCTGACTGAAAAGCACCAGTAAAGGGGAGAAAGTAGGCAAAAGAGGGTGTACCAAAAGGGGGAGCAGCCTCTCCCCCTATGCAAGGCGATCCTCCAGCTATTAACTGATTAACTGACGGTTCTTGGTATACTGCCTCCCCAAGTCTCCAGATTTTCTAGAAAGGGGGAGGGTATTAACTCCCTCCTGCCAACTTTCAGAGTTTCTTTTGGAGCATGAAATTGTGCTGTGGTTACTGGGGCTCCCTAACAATTCTAAAACCCCCACAGAAAATATGCAAATTTATTGGCTGGAAAGTAAATGGAGGGGAAATAGGCACCAATTTACGGGCTGAGAAGTAAACATGAGATATTTGTGCAGTTGCAGTAAAGGAGCAGTTCACGCAGGTGCACACATTTCTTCTCAATTTACATCTCAGCCATTAAATTTGCATACATTTCATCAGGGTTTCCCCCCCTAAACTGTCAGGAAGCTGCAGAAAGAGCCATTTTTTTTAAAGCAGCAAACCAAAATGCATAGTGATGAGCAGGGAGGGGAGATGAGGCTGCTTCATGAAGGACATTTGAATTTCAGCCAGAGTACGGGGGGGGGGGGGCAGAAAAACAAGCCATGGTGAACCCATTGTCTGGCAGGCACACTGCCAATGGCTCCCCAAACAATCCACACCTCAGAGCAGGTTTGGGGGATGGTTTGGCGTATGTGCAAATGTGGCCAGGACAACATAAGAGAGCCAGTGTGGTGTAGTGGTTAAGAGCCTGGGACTGGGACTCAGACGATCTGGGTTCTAGTCCCCGTTCAGCCACGGAGCCACCTGGGTGGCTTTGGGCCAGTCACAGACTCTCAGCCCAACCTACCTCACAGGGTTGTTGTGGGGATAAGATGGAGGAGGAGATGTAAGCTTGAGCCCTTTGTAGGAAAAAGGCAGGATATAAATTGAAAAATAAATAAATAAGATGTCCCTAAACCAACAGCTGTGTCATAATTGGGCTCAACCACAAATGAGGGCTAAATGGGGAACTGCTCTGACTCCAGGGCCAGACGGGATCAGCAGGCAGGCCGCGCCCTCCCTCCCCACATGCCCTTCCCCAATCTCCATTCCCTGACATCAGAGAGAAGGGTGGACTTGCTTGGCCAGCACAGAGCAAGGCTGCCTGTGTCTGACCTGGAGAAGGGAAAGGCAGGGCGCCTTGGAGCAGGCAGCCTAGATGGGAAGCCCTGCAGGCCGGACGGCCCCCATCCCTACCACAACAGGATTCCATCTTTTAATAAAAATGCTTAGCAGGGAGCAGTCTTTGTACTTGGGAGTTCAAATATTTTACAGAAGCAAGGACAGAAGCGTGTTGCCCATCTCCCATTCCGATCATGGCCCCAAAGGGCCAAGAAAAGAAGCAAGAGCAATCTGGGCTTACTCTTTTACTCCAGTGCACAAAGTAACCTCCTCTGAGGGATACATTACAAGGAGAGGATGTTGTGACAGAGCCACATGGGGGCAGCCTAGTTGACCTGTCTTGCTCCACTCATCCCTTACAACAGCTTTCCCCTACCTGGTGCTTTTCACAGGTTTTGAACTACAACTCCCACCCACATGTCCAATGGCTGTGCCTCATGGGAGCTGTAGTCCAAAACCTAAGAAAAACACCAAGTTGGAGAAGGCTGCCTTAGAGGCTCAAAGGATTCGCCTCATCTGATTAAATGCAATCTCTGGCCTTATTTTCCTTATCTACTCCTGAAAGTGGGTTTGTCACTGCTTCATCTATTTGTTTTCAGGCCTCATAATTTAACATTGTCAACAATTTATCACATTGACGCCCATAAATCTTTCCTTTAATGAGCTTGAGGCAGTGTCCATCTCCCTGCTTTGTCCTGGGAGTGACCCTGTGAGTCCAGTGGGCTTCATGACAGTACTTGCCCTAGCGCCACCCACTGGACTTCAAGCCCTAGTAGAATTTGAACTGGCAACTCCTCAATCCTAATCCAGCCCCATTAAAATACATGTGATGCTTTCTACTGTCTCAGTATTAGGCAATACTAAACTGGATTAGGACAGAGACCACTGACCACAGGGAATGATGGGTGTGATGGGTGTACTAATTTGACTGCAATGTGGCTGACGTACTAATTTGACCAGTAAAGACCTTCCTCACCTGCAGGGGTGTTTTACTTTTAGTAGACTGAACTGTGCCTGTATTATAGAGGTCTTTATCCTACCAAGCATTTGGATATAAAGGGAGCAGAATTCCAGGAGGAATGGTTTGTACACAGACCCAGATAGTGGCAACAGGATGAGAGTGTTGCAGTTAATTAGTTTAACAATCAGGAAAGTGGATAGTTCTCTGGTGGACTCTGTTTTTGCATTGATGACCTGCAGAGGGCACTTTAGGATATTTTAGAAGGCCATTTTTACGATTATTTAACATTACACAAAGTGGGAGTGAGATTTAAACCTTATGCTAATCTACAAATACCCAGCAATGAAGACGACGAAAGATATTGCCATCAACCCAATCTGTACAGCAACTGTACTATATCAGCTAGTCAGCCGCATGGCTCAGCTAAAAAAAGAAACTCCTCATCACCGCATATTCACAGCAGCCCTCAGATAAGGTGCTACAATTACACAGAATGGCTTTAAAAATATATCCTATAAGAAATGCATCTGTGACCCATTACAGATCAATAACAATAGTTTTTTTGGAAGTGGTTATAACATCAGCGTGTATAACATTTGTCCATTTTTGGCCAAAAATGATTTGTCTCGAGATGCCTGCAGACAAACCTACAAAGAATGCCTGCCAATTTGTCCAAGATCAGCCCATTTTTTTCCACACCACCCTGGTAGTAAGGCATGTCTGTCTGTCTGTGTCTGTGTCTTTTCTTTTTTTTTTTCTTTTCTTTTCTTGTCCCTCCATCTCCACATGGAAGATGATTTTGCCAGGCATGTCATCTTATCCTTCTGTCATGAAATTCTGACAAGAGTGACCCCTCAGTAGTGTGAGCCCATGTTTTGCACTAAGGAAGCCCATTGATAAGATTTTGGATAACAGGGACAGGAAAGAGCTCTGCCAGAGACAATAAAAGCGGTTGCAGCGGGAACAAACAGCACTGAGCTCAAAGGATCAATGGTATGCCTCAGTATAAGCCAGCACTGTATGGTCAGACCCCAAGCTGAATGGACAAAGGCCGGAGGAAGAATGAACAGAGCTGCCAGAACAGAGCTCATGCATTAAGTACATCTTTACATGTTTCTGCATTTCCTGTACCTAAGCATGCACAAACAAGCAAGCAAACTCTTTAAATCAGTGCATTAGTGCTATAGGTGAGGTGCTGGCTAAGCCAAGACTGCATATCTGCTTCATTCCCTTGAATGCAACATTAACCCTGGTTTATAAATATATAAATAAATGACAGGCAGCGAGCCTCAGGCTTCCACAGCCGTTCCTTTTCCAGCAAGAGTGGGAGTGGTTTGGAAGTTTTTGCCTCTGTTTTAGAAAAACTGGAGTTAAATGGCACGTGCAAGTCAGATAATAGCAATGAGTCTTAATTATGCTTAACTGAAACAAGACAATTTCAAACAACAGTATATGAAAAGAGATTGTTTAAACTAACCATAGATAAAGCCTTTGTCTGTTAGGGTGCGGTGGCAAATCTAACCCAAATGCATTTTATATTGCAGAGTTTCCACAGAAGTACACCTATTATAGTATATTGTTTTCTATCAACTACATAATGTCCCCAACTTTCAGCCACTTAACATGGTCCATATGAAAAGAGAACCTCCTAAGGCATAAAAAATCCACCATATCTTCTGATTTGGCTGTCAGTGGGTTGGTTGAACTATGGGATTTTATTAAGAAAACATTTACCTCACTAGAGACAAAGTTGTTATGGGGGGAGGTATAGAAAAATACCCACAAATCCCCAAAATGTTCTAGTAATTAACATTTAACCTAAAGATTTACCTAACAGTTTATGATATTTTCCTAATATTTTGAGTTACACTATATTTACCCCACAGGATACATTGCAATACAACTGCATATGTAGAGAAATGCATGGTTTTTACCTGGGAATATTAATGAAAATAAGGCCCTCTATGTTTGGAAGCTCAACTTCATGTTGATTCACTTGAAGTTTTATTTCTTTATGGAGATTTCTGGTGTGACTCATTTTCTGCAGTCCAACCTTAACATAGACACCTTTATTGTGAAACCTAGAGAGAGAGATTTTTATTTAGTTTTCATGTAACAGAAACGGCAAGTTCCATATGGCATTTTGTTTAATGATTTATTCTTATTTGCATTATACAGTGACATTGCGCAACTGGTTTCATTTTCCTCGACGATACCATTCTTTTGCTCCTGAAATTAAATGCCCTCTTCAGGGATTCTTCTGCATGCACGAGGGCTCGCACCGTGCAGGGGAAGAGCAGGCCTCCTGCGCCCTCTCCCGCAGCTGGGGCCCTCCCACTCTGTCCCTGATGCTGCTGCACCGAGTGACAAAGCCGGGAGAAGATCTGCTCACATCCACCTGAAAGGAAACAGAACTGCAGGGCTTGCGATCATACACAAAGTTCTACTCCCATTCAAGTGAGCATAAGCAGGATGCCCCTCCGGACAATGTGCAAGATCGGGGACTGAGGGGGTAGAACACACAGAGATGGAATGGGAAGGGTAGTGTGCCCCCCACCCCCCAATATACTTTAAGCTCCTGGATGTTTATGGGAATGTCTGCAGGTGGGTTTCCTTTCTTTCTCTGAAAGTAAGCAGTCATTCTACAGGTCCAAACTGTAATGGAATACAAGCTGTGGGTCCAGCACCACATTCAACCACAAGGAAGCCTTCATACAGCCCCACTTACTTCCATCCGAAGGCCAACTGCAAGCTTTGAACCCCACAAAAAGACAGTTCAAACCAGACTCTACTGTCCTTGGCTGCTTGCTCTTGTTTCAAAGTATGACCCAGCGGAATAACTATCTAAATGGCAATATTAAAACAATGGCCAGAGAGCTCTGAACTAGAAATAGAACTCGAAGTGAAAAGAACAGCTTGTTTACTTGGAAATGATGCCAAAGGGGCTTATCCCTCAATAAGCTTGCACAGAATTGTTTAAAGAAATAAGGCTCAAATGTCTCTCAGTTGGCCTTAAACTGAGAGAGATCATAAACAGCTGTGAATCCTTTGGTGAAGTTCGGGACATGTTGTTAGGCGTGCCTCTCCCCCACCCCCGGGACACCTGGTGGACGTTTTCAAGGGCAGTTCTCACACAGGTTTGGTTTCCTTTTAGTGAAGACAGATGGATTTGTGATGCATATAACATTTCAATGTATGTACAAATACAGAACCAAGCATGGGAGGAAACATAGAACTTGTCACTTCTAGGAATGGCAGTCCCACTGCCATTGGGTATAGCTCTGGTGTAGATCTGACAGGAGCTATCAGGTCTGCAGAAATGTGACCAGCACCCTGAGATGATGCCTATTTTCCTTCCACTCACTTCGTTCCCTGACTCCAGTCCTTCCAGACAAGGCTGTTATTATGTGATTGGCCTGCCCGAAACTGTATGGGGCGAGGCGGGGAGGAGAGAGGCACCGGCACCTTGCATCTGTAACCCTCCCACTGCTTCCTTTGTCTTTTCTCTTACAAGAAAGAAATGTGTTACAGAGGAAAAGACAGAACAGCACAGCTAATCAAAAGGCATTATTCAGCTAGGCACCCTCCATCTGGAAGCACCCTCTGACTCCAACTACAGTCTCTTTGTTCCTGTACATACAAATGGAAAGCAGGGGGAGAGAGAGTGTTTGTGTGTGTACTAGTGTGCGTCATTCTTAGCTGGAGAATGGGGCAAGAATGCCACCTAGCCTTCTGCATTTTCTTGCTTTCTACGTTATTGACCTGCAAGTTCCATTACCAGAGTTGTGGCTGTCAACAGGGTGCAAAGCTTAGAAATGCTAAGTAGTTATTCTGGCCCATGACACCCTTTTCTTGGAACCCAAAGCTGAGAAACGGCATTGCTTCCAGGCAAACCCACAACAGCATTATGATGCATAGCAGAACTACACAGATTTTATGCTGTTGGATGAAAGGAAGGCCAACAACTTATGGCTGGCATTTGGGGATGCAAGTTCCTCTGAACAGCCACTAGCCACAGTCCATATCCTGGTAACAGTTTGAATCAGGTTCAACGGTGTTCCCATAGGAAGCGGCCACACTGCAGGTCCAACCACATGGCGTCAAATTCACAGAGGTCATGGCCAGATGCCACACAGAAGTAGCTCCTATATCCGCCTGATTCATATACCTGCAATTGAGTGTGAATCAGGTTGTTTTTGCTCGAAAGGACATCTTGAAACTCACATCCTCTCTCCAGCCATGTGTGAGACCCCAGAGAAAAGCAAGCATGTGTACCAAAAATATGAGAGGGTGAACAAACGGCTAACCCAACCTCAGCAGTGTCAACGAAATTAGAATATATATACTTTTCTCCTCTATGAACGCCAATGAAAAGGAGCACTTGATAGCAACTGATACCTGCTGTTGAATTTGTCTGGTTCTACTTCCCGAGCATGATGAAAACCTAGACTCAACTCTGCATCGATTCCCAGACCACAGTAATTGTTCATCTGCACAATCTAAATAAATAGATAAAAACAATGTTCTACAATTTGGTACAGATTTCTTCTAATTTTCAACAAACCAACTAGAACATTTGCATTATAAACTGTCTGACTGTAAGGAGCTACAACATAAAATGTTTCCTCAAGTGTTGAACCTGAAGTAAAGAACCTAGACTCAGCATGAAGCTTTCCAGCTGACCCCAGGACAGTCAGACAAACACATGTATGTATGTATGTGTGTATGTATGTATGTATTCATTCATTCATGAATGCATGCATGCATTTACTGGATTTATCATATTTATAAAGGAACTCAAGGCAGCTTACTTAATACTCCTCCTCCTCTCAATCTCATCTTTCCAGCAACAACCCTGTGAGGTAGGTTGGGCCAGAAGTCTGTGACTGGCGCAAAGTCACCCAGTTGGCTGCTTGGCTGAGTGGGAGTTACAGCCTTGATCCCGAGTCCCAGTCCAGCACTCTCAGCCACTCTATCACACTGGCTCTCATATCCTAACATCTCACAGTATTTGTTGAAAGGATAAATTGGGGTAGCCCAGTTTTACACCCAGAGCTCCTTGGAGGAAGGGGAGGCTATAAGGGCAAGGAAAGGAAAGGAAAGGAAAGGAAAGGAAAGGAAAGGAAAGGAAAGGAAAGGAAGTAGAAATCAACATTTTCCAATTGATGAGCCCACAAAACTGAAATATTATAACGATATGGTCTTATGCAAATATTCTTTTTATTTGAATTAGAACTTCCTTGTTCAAAGAGTGAGCTTAAGGGGAGCCTCTGCAGAGGCAGAGTAACTTTTATAATACATTCTGGAGCTAAAGGTATCTTGTTCATTCTTGTTATAATATATTTCAAGAGGCTATGTAGGTGAGCTTTCAGTGACTTAATTTCATCGGGCAAAAGGTATCTTTTTCTGCTATCTCTATCTCCCCTGGAACTGCACACTATGCTAGAGTGCTGATTTATAAAAGGAAAACACAGACAAACTGTATTCCCTTTCAGAAAAACTCTGTAACAAAGAAACAAACAATTAACTGATCCAGTTAATCCTAATTAAACTTACATCCTAATGTCTATTTCCTAAACAGCAAGACCCCATATCTGTGGGGAATGGGCCCAAGCCTGCACCCCCCCACCTCCGGCAGATGCCTGAAATGGTGCATAATAGCAAACACTACATTTGCACAGGTTAGGGGTGTAGGACCCCTGCAAAAGTGGAAAAACCACAAATATCTCTAGTGTCTTCACCCCATTTGAAGGACTAAACACGTGAGTGAGGCTGGCTGGTCCCTTGACAAGGTACGTGGCATTCCCAAAGAGAGTGTGTAGTTTCCTGGAGATATTTACAGTTTTTCCTTAGAGATATTCACAGCCTTTTTCCAGAGATGCAGGTTTCCATGTCTGTGGGGATCCTGAGCCCCTAATCCCACAAATGTGGATGATTGATGGTTAACCATGGTTAAGCAAAGCTGTGGTAACTAAGACAGCAGATATGGGGATCCTGCTGTACTTCAAAATGGAACTACTATATCCAACAGACTTTCTGACAAGGAAAAATATATACCTGATCCACATTAGATGCCTGTAAAAAGCTACATCAACTATCAATAGTGTAGTGCCCTTAACAGCAGTGAAATTTGTCCAAAGGAGGATATTCATCAGATAGGAGGAGCAGATAAGAGTGTGAAAAAGAGACAGGTGTGACCCCAAGAGAGATGGGAGAGGCAATGGCAGGAAAGAATATGCCATACAGGAAAGTAAATACACTTATGACAATTATGGGTTTATGGTTTTTAGCAAGAAAACTACCTTGGGAGGCTCGGGCTCTAACACACCATTTTCTGAGCTTTCCAAAGCCTCTTGTGCATCCAAAAGGATGGTCCAACGATCCATTAGCACATCGTCAGCTTCATCAACTGATATCAGGACGGAGTATGGATCTTCTCCGCTATATCCAGCACCCCAGCGCAGCACCCTCCCCAAGTCATTGCCTGAACAAAAAAAAACAGGTTTTCATTAAGGACTTCTACTAAAGGAAAAGGCCTTGCTCTAGTACACTGGCTACTTTCCCTTTATCTCTTAAATAATCTTGTGCACATTAAACATTTTTCTCTTGTCATTTCTTGTATTTGCCCTGACAGGAACTTAATTACAGCAAAAAGTCTGTTTTCAACAGATAGCAAACCAGACAGTTTGAAGTGGGATAGGCAAAATCTGTGAATTTAAGAGCAATTTGCCATTTTTATTCCCGAAATCCAGGGTCGGACTCACCGGTTCCCAAGGGTAAAATTGCCACAGATGGTTCTGAACAGACGAGTTTGTGCCTGATCTCCTCCAGTGCACCGAGAACCCAACCAACAGTGCCATCGCCACCACACACGAGTATTCGGAAGTAAGGAATTTGAGAGAATGCATGGAACCTTCAATATTAAAAAAAAGAAGCAAGCACAATGTTATGGTAACAATACCTGTAAATACAAGCATGTATGCAGGCTTGCTTGCTTCATTCATTCATTCATTCATTCATTCATTCAAATTTATTTGAAAGCAGAAATATACTAACAAGTATGGCAGAAAAGGAAAGTTCAGGATTCTCTTACTGGAAAAGACTGACAAGACATGTTTAGAATAGGTCCAGTTTTAACTTGCACACAACACTGTCATTTCCAATTAGCAGGTGACATTGTCTGCTCATTCACTATTATGCAACCAACCTGCTTCACAGAATTCCTGGGCTGCCTATCCCAGGAATTCCCAGGACCCAATGGGAGTGAGCACCCGGCCTCCAGCTGCTTTTTGCTTCTGCTTTCAGTTACTGACCTAGGAGCAACTGTTCTTAGGATGTTAATTGAAAGCAGAAGTGATGAGCATAAATGAAGGCAGAATGCTTGCTTGTTGCTGTTCAGTCCCGGAAACCTATGGTTTAAACAAACCCCGGGTGGTCATTAAGTGAAACTGGGCCAATTCAGTCATTATCCAAAGACAGGTATCATTTAGGTAACATTTTGATGTACAGTGCAAGTGTGGAATGACAGAACCCTGTGCCAGAAGATAAGGTGGTTTTGAACTCTCCCCACAATGCAATCTGAAGCCTACCTACTCAGAAATGGAGCAAGTAGTTTGCTGGTTGTACTAAAAACAATTTGGCTAAGATACAGTGCAAAATTTAAGGAAAAACAACATAGAAATACTTTGAAATAAATTCAAGGCATCTTTTTAAAAATTCGTAATATATGTGGTTGTGCCTTATACAGTTCAAAAGCAAAACCTGAAAAATGCTTTATTTCAAGGGACAATGAGTGACCTAGATTTACAGATAAAAGCAGATTGCAAAAAAATAGGCCACTTTAACTCTTGGAGTTACGTAATAGAAGTTTACTCTACTTTTCAATAAAAGACAAGTGAGCTGAGTAGACCTTGCTACCCATCTCCCTTTTCACAGAGGGCTGTTGTGCAAGCCCCAACCACTTTCTCCAGGGTGGCTTATTTTTCATGAGCAGGCCACCCTGAGACCCCATGGCTTGTTCTAGGGGCAACCCATTCTAGGGGCAACCCATGGCTTGTTCTAGGGGCAACCTATCTAACCATGATAGGTTGTCATGTCATCCAAATCTGGGAGAGATTTTATCATGAGTTGCAGGGATTAGCTACAAAGCAAAAACCTCTGCTGCTCTTTGCAATCTTGCTCAACGATGCCCAGACAGTCCTCGTTTGTTACCCTTTTTACAATCCTAGAAAATGTCATTATTATTCTTATGACTGGTAGTGCTCCTTTGTGATTGTGCAAGTGACACCTATCCAATATGAGTAATCTTACTCATATTTTCAATGTCCTTGTAAGTTTCAGCTTCCAAAGAGAGCAAGAACAGTAGGCAACTGACAAGACAATTGACAAGATGAGACTACACATAGGAAAATCTGCACACACCAGGAGGAAAACTAATGCTACATAAAAGGACCACTGGGGGAGCACTGAAAATGGGGAAAACCTCTGGAGAAATAGGTGCATCTAATGGGAGGGACACATTATCTCCCACTTAGCACTGTGATTCTTCCAGGTTCAAGTGCTGGCCTGATATTTGTCAATGTCCTCCCCCTTTTAACTCTGCAGCTAGTCCAAAAAGGGGAAATATTAACTCTCCACCACCACTTTTCACGGCTTCTTTTTGGAGCACTTCCTTTTGCAGTTACTGGTGTTCTTGACAGTTCTAAAAAAGCAAAAGGTGGCTGAATGGACTAAATGAAAGTTTCCCCATGGTATGGGAAGTGACATGTCCACTTTGCTCTGTCCCATTTTGCCCCCTCTAGGTTTGCTTGTTGTTTCAACTGTTGGGGATATACGTACATATTGAATGACTTAAAAATAAATCGAAGGAAAATTTGCACACATGCATTAATGGCTCCACTACTGCAGAACAGGGGTGGTGCTGGGTACTGAAAATATCTAGGGCTCTTGCTCATCAGGCGAAAGAAAGAAGCACAAATTTGTATATGTTAAATTGCACATGGTCTACAGTCTCTGTGTTCGTGTGCCTTTAAAGTACCCTGCCTTCCAAGGGCAGCCCTATTTGTAAAAAGATATGAATGGGCAGAGGACAGGAGAACATTCGTAGCTGGGGGGCAAAAACCTCAGGGAGAAAGATTCAAGGGGTGCTGGGACAGCAGGGCGTAGAGCACTTGTGGGCAAAAACTCAGATGAACTAGGGCATCCTTCCCCAACCTGGTGGCCTTCAGAGGCATTTGGACAACTCCCAGAATTCCCATCCAGCAGGGCCAATGACTAGGAATTCTGGGAGTTGCAGTCCAAACGTGTCTGGAAGGCACAAGGTAGGAGAAGGCTGATCTAGAGGTGTCAGATACAGCAAAGATCATCAGAGCCCCTGTGCATTTATTTCAGGCAGTGTCCATGGACAGCAGAGTAGTGTGGAAGGTGGCTGCCAAGACATCTGAGGAGCTGAATGAAAGATCTGGGGCTCCAGCCCTAGTGGGTTGCATCTCAGCACTGCTCTGCTGCAGTGGCACATATTTCCTCTCAATCTACTTTCCAGCTATCACATTTGCATATATTTCCCTTGCATTTTCTTCCCAGTCTCCCAGGTGAACAAATATTCCCATCAGGTTTTTTAAAGAAATCTTACACCGTGACTGAATGGGACAAAGCAAGTGGGCTCCACATCTGGACAAGCTGGCAAGTTAAAGAAGTGGTGAAAAGCCTGGAGACTGTCCATTTATCACTTAAATCCACAGGATTGCATTGCCACGCTCTACCCCCTGCTTCTGGTACAATTACTTCTTTGTCTGCCCCACTATTTTTGGTATTTCTGATGGATTTTTGTGCTTGCACTAATGGATTCACCTGCTTCCTTTACTGTTATTTCTCCCCCAGTTATTTGCAATAGTGTGCAAAGCAGCCAACAGGCAGCCACATGTGTCAATTTCCTTCTTTGTCACCCCCTCCTCTTCAGCAATCCCTCGGACAATTGAAACATGCCAGGAAATTGACCAGGAAAGCTTAACCATATCAGCCAATTGCAAGACTGTAACTGTAATAAGTATTTACAACTATAATAATTACATAAATTTAATAATTATGACCTCAACTGCACATCTTTGTGGCTCCAAAAATAAAAGCCAGACAATGCAATGGGATTATAGCAATCACTATACAGCTCTAATGATTATAGCAAGATAAAGGCTAGGGTGGGAGACAAAATGCTATGAAATCTTTTGGGACACACAACAAAACAAGCTGGGAAGCTGAGGAGGAACGAGGGGGAAAACAACCCACGGCAAGTGCAGTTGTCTGTCAGGCATACTGTGGGTTACTCAACAGGCAAGCGATCCAGTGTCGCTTGTTCAGAGGGATGGATTTGCATGTAATGCTAATCCACCCACCATCTTTGACAAATGAGCTACTGCTGCATTTGTTTAGCCGATGCCAAATCCCAAATGTAAAAATAGAAACGCTGTTTATTAAATGACAGTTTTGTTAGTTGACATTAAAGGATGTTGAAAATAGCAGGAAGATGTCTTATTTGACAGTAGGGTTAAACATCCCAGCACCTCTGGCAACAGCACAGTTTGGCTCTGACTGCAATGCTACTCACACTGTGGATGTGTCCAACTACTGTACTGAAAGCGTTTGAAATCAGTGGCCGGGGCCAGAAACCTGATGGTCAATTTGTCTGCACCCCAGTGAGGCTTTGCATTGCCATTTCACAAAAACCAACTCCCTAACCCAACTCTCAAATTTAGGATACGGTGTGGAAGTCTGCTGTTCAAATCAAAAGACCCCACAAATTCCACTAAGCAGCTGCAAGACCTCACAGGCACCTCAGACAGTTTTTCTGCTTTTAAGCGTTGCATGTATGGCTGGCGAACCCTGAAAGCAAACCTTGCGCATATTGTGGCAATGCGATTTTATGCAAAAACGCGATGACGGCTAGCTCTGCAATATGCAATGCCCAATCTCAAGGAGGGATTTGGGGAAGAAAAGGAAACTGGGGTGGTAAAAGGCTGCAGCAGTTTGGAGCAGGGCTGCAGGAAGGAAGAGGTTACTGATTTCATGTCATTTCATTCCCATACACACAGAAACACGAAGTTTCCCAGGACAGCTTGCGCATGACTCTCATCCAAGCCCTGCTCAGGGTCAAGTTATTTAGCTTCAGCAGCTGAAATGCATCATGTTCTTCCAAGACCAAGCAACAGAAGAAAGGAAGCAGTCCAACAGAATGCAATAAAAGAATACCACTTGAAGAAACATATTAAGAAACAGGAAATCTGCACTGAACAGAAATGCATGGTTACCCAGGCAATGGGCCTCCATTCGTTAGTTCGAAGATCTGATGAGGATTCAAGAGCTTTCTAAAACTGTACAGCAGATCTCGACCTTTAAGTCCTCCACTTTTCGGATTCACAAATACAAGCAATGGACAGCAGTCCTGAGGAAGCTTGTCTTGCTAAAAAAAGGGGAAGGAAAGATGAAAAAAGAAAAATAAGCAATTAAGGAACATTGGTTATGTGATCAACAAGACAGTATTCCAGAAACATCCAGTGGAACTTTAAAAAGAACCCTGTTTTACAAGTGAAGTCGTCTTGGCAGACTCTACAAGGACTTTCAACTGCATGTGCTTTTTTAATTTTAATTTTTTGCACAAACCACACAAAAGTGAGCCCATATGTTTGTGCAACTTATTCATTTCAATGATAAGTGTAGAAAGAAGACACCCCCATGCAATGGTTCAATGCAACAAAACCCGAAACCTATTATAAACATAACCGATGTCAATCATAAATGTAATATAAAACATTATACAGTGTGTACTTTTCCCTAATTGGCTTCAGAATTAGGATTTACATAGTAATAAAGTATATGCTCGCCTTGATACATATTTCATCATCACCATCATAAACAACTTTATTAAGCTCATTTCAAATATTCAAAGGGCATTTCAAATATTCAGTGTCCTTCAGAAGCACTATCCCAGCAATTCTTGCCTACAATTAATTCGGGAGATGGGTAGGTATCATCAGGCTGAGGGTGGGAGAGAGCAGTACATGGCAGTCTGGTTAGGGCACATGGTCAGGGCCACTCCACACTTTACTGAGGCAGTTAAAGTATAATTAATGTATTTGCTTTTAAACAACTGTATACGTAGGCCTAGGAGCAATGATCCAACACAAGTACATGAGCTGCTTTAAAGGAAGGCCCATGTCATTCATGAACTTCTTGCTTGCTTTCACAGCAGGCACACCTGAAGAGAGCTTGGAATCAGCCAGCAAAGGCAAGATTGCTTATTATGACCTGAATCAAGGATAAGGAATGGACTGTTCTAGGCAGCTGCTTGAGCAGAGAAACAACATGCCTCTATCAATTGATCTATCGATCGATCTATCTATCTCAAAAGGCTAAATGAAATGAACTAGTGTTGATGGAAAGAAGCTACTTTTGTTGGCTTAGGCAAACCAGAAATGGCCACAGCAGCTTTTTCCCCCTAGACAGGATGAATGTATTGATGCAACCAATCAAGGAGAAGGTGTTAAAAGTGGCCTATAAATAATTGCAGATGAATGGGTGTATGGATGAGTGGGTGATAGACAGGTGTGTGGACACTGCAGATGGATAGAGCCATGCTGTGAAGGCCACCTATTTGCTCTCACAGCAGCATCCACGTCTAGATACAACAGAAGCTCCAGTCAGGCATGACACTATGTTTTGAGCTAAGCTCAGCATGAAATTGGAAGCACAATCTGAGTTTCCAGGCATGGAGGCAATCCATGATGTACAGCAAGTTCTCTCCTTTCATCTCTCATCTACTCAGCTCTCCAGTGGCCTCTAGTGGCAGTGCTGACTACAATCATAAACTATAGTTTGGCAATGACTTCATCCTTACCCTGCTTTTGTCCAAAATACCCAAACCTGAAGAAGTGTATCAAAGTCCAAGAGCTTACAACACTTTTAATTAGTTTGCTCTGTAAGGAATATTCCTCCTCTATTCTATGTTTTTCATATCAAAATACTAGAATAGACCTTCCTCTTAATCCTTTGAGATAGCTGTCATGATAAACACATCTACTTTGTTTCACATACATTCAGTAGGAGTTGTGGCCGACTGCAAAACATTAATTACTGCATAAACCATGGTTTGGTTTTATGGGAATGAGCCTTAGGAAGATGTGGTCTGTGGTCACAAGGCAACCAGAAGCTTCCATTTCCACTCTGGATGGATGGTTACCTACCAAATAATGCTTGAATGAAAAGGTTTTGACCTGGCACCGAAAAGAATATAGGTGTGGCGCCAGGCAAACCTCTCTGGGGAGCACATTCCACAATCTGGGCGCCACCGCAAAGAAGTCCCTACTCCAAGTAGATGCCCTTTAAGATGCCCTACTATGTTCCTACTTGGCTCCTGGGAGCCAAATTCAACCCTCAGGCCAAAAAGAGTCCTGTATACCCTCACTGTATATTTTTGGCTGAGAGTGAAATTTTCCAAAGGTTTCACTCAAATTAATAGCTCTTTTCAGGTGTACAAGTTAACTAACATGCAATTTCTAAAACCTTTATTTACAATACTGTGTCTTGCCCTTCATTAGAAAAAAAAGGCGCTGACACTTGCAGGAGGCCGCAGTTAGCAACTACCGAGGGTGCTGAGCTCCAGTCAATTCACTGTGGCCCAATCCTTGCGCAATAGGGACTCAGCACTGTGCAGCATTACCCCCAAACAAGAAAAAACTTTTATTTCCAAAAAAGGACAAGCCAGCAATTTTCTACTGAGTACGGTCCTCTCCCTTGCCCCTTTCCGGAAATGAGTGTTTCTGCTCATTTCCATTTCTAATTCGAAGAGTTAAGCACAAGTACAAGGTCCTGCTGGATTGGATACTTGGCAAAATAGCTCAGAAATTAATTATAAACTCATACACCAAGGTTCAAGAGAGCCAAGTAGATAGTGGACACATTTTAAAAGTGTACCTAGAAGTAAATTAATTCAGCATTATGCTTTCAACATATGGACAACTGTGTTATCTGGGGCACATTTTAAGTATCCTTCAAGATTATTAACATTATAATTGTTTTTCTTTCAGGTTGAACAAAAGTAATTCTTTATTTAAAGGCCAAAACCAAACTTGGCCATTCTTTGTTTATAGCCACGCATTCCTCTGCTGGAACTAAACTTTGCTCCATTCCCTTATTTGTTAATTACTACCATCCTCTCCATAGCCAGAGCAAAGTTTAACTGGATTTAATTTAACTTATTTTCCTCCGGAGTTGCTATAAATATTACATTTATAATGCTCATTTAAGGAATGCTATTTTACTTTTATTGGTAGAGTAAGTTAATAACTTCTTTATAACAGCCAGTTCAAACTCAATTAATGTGTTTTGCAATGGGGAAAGATGAAGATTAATTAAAGGACGTAAGAACAGGTGTAAAGAAAGGTGCTGTGTAACAAATTTAAACAACAACTTCTAATGTATCCTTACAGCACCAACTTATTTCTTTTCAGAATTAAATGTGAAATAAACTCAAATGTCCAGAGAAAAAAACATAAGCATGTTTTCAGTAGTGTTATAATGATTGGGCTCAATCTTCATTCCAGAATACAGATGCATATTATGAATGCAATCCAGAAAGTGGGACAAGTCATTTTATGCCACACCTATCTAACCAACAGTAATTCAAATTAAACTCTAGGAAATTAAATGCAATGCTAATGGTAAAAACCGGTTACATAAAATATGGTATGCTAGAATAAAAATGCTCTAGTGCAAAACTAACAGTGCTGACTGGCATGTTCTTTTCCCAGTGAAACTGGTGCACCAACCGTCTGCTGCTGTTTTAGAATAGTTTGCATTACCATTCATGCCTCACTGAATTCTACCCCTAATTCCCTCCCTGCACACAACTTCATGGTTCTTAAGACCAGGGGCTGGTAAACTGTGGCCTCCCAGATGTTTTGCCTGCAACTGTCACAATTCCTCACTGCTGACTATATTGGCTAGAACTGATAAGAGCTGAAAGCCAAAACAGCTTGAAGGGCACAAGGATGGCCTTCCAGCCCCCTTCCAGGCTCCTTTCAGCTTGAGATTCTGTGAAGTTGCTCACTTCTGAAGATGCACATACTTTAATGCAAGTAACATTCCCGCATTATGCCATTCATACAGCATCCTTTCTGCTGCAAGGCTTTCCTTAGCATTTGTTTAAGTGGAATATTTACTAGCCTAAGTGAAATAAAGAGCTCTTGGCTAACATTTTAGCAAGCTGAAATGCATAAGTCTCATCTGACTTTGCTGGTTAAAACAGAACCAATTACCTATTTATACAACCTCCATTTCCAGACTGATTTTATGACTACCTTAAAGTTCCATGGACTCCCTATGGATTTCCCCAGCAGCACAGTAAACATGTCGCACTTTGTTTGGGGTACCAAGTAACACCAGGGAGTGCAAGTGTGACCATCACTTACATATTTAATCTAGGACAGGAAAAATATCACTAGTGGAATCAAATGGCACTTGTGCGAATCAACTCTGACATAGAAATACTTGTAGCATGGGTTCGTATCTATCCACACAGCATGCTAAAAACATTTCTGAAATACAGCCATGTCCATTTTGCATTCATTTATCTAGCTGTTTCTCCTGTCCTATTAGCTTTAAGGCTCACTGGAAGTGCACACAGATAATTTCCTGGAAGTGCACACAGATTACTTCAGTTAAAATGAAAACGCCGAGATGGATTTAATGCATGCTAATTTGGATCACATTAGACAGCAACAAAACTCTATGGAGAAAGGCACTGCAAACTTGGCAGACTCTGCCTGAACACTGGCTGCCTGTTTTAAAAGGATACTGTACTGCAAGGCCTGATTTTGATTTCTGTTCAATATGTCCAACTTTCCTCTTTTGTATGCCTTATACAAAGCATGCTGTGTTTACAGTTAGAGGATAGATTCATTTCTTAAATTGCAACATGTAACTAAGAGGTCTTACCAGAACTTCAGGGATGACAACAGCAGCTAGTGGTTTGTCATTAACAGTGGAGTCTTTAGCTAGCATATACAATCTTTCAGCTTCAGAAAAACATGAGATTTCTAGTATGACAGCACCTGAAACAAAAGATTTCAATCATATCTTCAGTTGTTTAATATGAAAAGCATAGGTTCATTAAGTACTCAATAGCTTTGTCTGACACCAAGTGTAAATATGTAACTTGACTAACAGAGTTGTGGAAAGTTACACAGGTGGATGCTCCCACAGGTGGAAGCTCACTGAACATTAGTGGCTGGGTAACTGTGGTCACATTGGAACCACAGCCATGTTACATCTCTTTCAGTGGCGCCTGCTGTCTTTCCTAATAAGAGATTCTAAATAAAAAGCGCTGGACCTCTTGGTGTGTCAGTGCACATCACCAGCAGAGCAATGTGATGTTTAGGCCAAAGTCAGAACTGGCATGAACCATTAGAGCAGCTATGAACTGAGGGCTCCTATGGTGTGGAGAGCAGCAACACGTACCATGCTTAGCATTTATATTCCTCCAGAAGGACAGCTGCTGTTTTCTAAAAGGCCGTGAAAACAACAAGGGCAATTTCAAATTTGTTTATGGCTGAAGCAACGTAGAGCTATCACCAAAAACCACATCCCATAACAGTCTTCCCCAACCTTTCCAGACATGCTTGGACTGCAACACCCAGAATTCAATGGCCCTGCTGGATGGGAATTCTGGGAACTGTGGTCCAAAAGCCTCTGATGGCCACCAGATTGGCAAAGGCTGCCATGTAAAGTTCTCCCTGTATAATCTGTGGAATACTTGATCATGTAATATCATTGTACAAAACGGCTGCCACGGTGGGCATGGCTCATCACAGGACACCCATTTCCCACAAGGCAAGCTGGTGAGACTAAGGGAAAAGAAGCCTGCTAATGAGTTTACCTCTTGTACACTGTGAATGAAGTTAGGAAGAAGTATGGATGCCAAAAAAATCGCGCCCCCATCTCACCACATGGAGTGAAAGGAAATGTAACACCCACACAAGCCCAGGAATGGAAGTTCATAACCCAACATTGTCAACACAGTTAAATTCCAGTTAAAATATTATCTTCTTACCTTGAGATGAATATACGTGACTCACAGAAACTAAATTTGCTGTAGAAGTTGAAAAAGCAAAATGTTTCCAAATGTAGCATTAAAATGTTTATTTTTTCTAAACGAAAGCAAATTGTACATTATATAAATAAAGCTTAGCAAGTTAATACCTTCTCATTTTACACATAATTGAAGAGATCAGTCTTGTTTATTTGAAGATGTGTGAAAAGTATACACAAATTACCCACGGAATTTAAAATAAAAGCTCCAGGGCAGTAAACAAGATCAACTGTTCACAGAGAACAAAGTCAGTTCCAAATACTGCTGATGGAATATATTAACTAGAACAATAAACACAAGTTGCATATAAGCTACCTAATAATCTTAATTTAAGCAAGCGCTACATGGGTGGGAATCAAAAGTGGCAAACAACACTCAATACATGCAACAGAGCTTCTGAGACCACCTCTGACTGTGGTCAGTTTTTAAAGATCAGTAATGGAGTTAGGTGCAGAAGACAAACAAGGTCACCATACTGTGAGGAAGTCTCACACACGATCTCCTAAGCTAGTTCACTACACTCAACATTTCCGCTTCCCCCTGATTGCCAGAAATGAGAGCACCTCAAACCAGCATTATACTCAGACTTACATTTGTGAAGGAATGCAGCTCCTGTCAATGTTTTCTGTCTTGCTTTGTTTTATTAATTTAAAACACTTTCCCCCGAAGCTCAAAATGGTCCACAAACACTTATAAAAATGATGTTTTTATACATCATTTACACATTATAAAAATGAAAACCAGTATGTAATTACTTATATCATTACAAAGAAAGAAGAAATGTATGTGTGGGTTATGATTACTGCTGAAATAGTGCCATCTATATGCCCCCCATTTTAATAAGCATGGAGCAGTATGAAAAATATTGACTGCATAGATATGGAATATCTATATTATTATTATTATTATTATTATTATTATTATTATTATTATTATTATTATTGGAACATTTCTATGCTGCCCCTTTTTGGAACGATGGTGCAATCGAACAGGATTTCAAACTATAAAATAGTTTTATCATTTTACACAAGCTATGATGGTAAATGACTTACTTTTGATGGCTAATTCATCTTTGAGGATGTTTGTGTATTCTTCAGTGGAGAGGTGAGGTGACAAACCACCCACAAACAAATGGACCCGCACAGGTGATATGTGATTTTCAACAAGGTAAAACCTTGTTTGATTCATCTGACGTAGTGAAGTCTGTGAAAGAGAAGAAACGTTGAATAGTCATCATATTACAAATGCACCGCTTTTGGATGATTATGACTCTAAAGGTGTAATCCTATGCAAATCTAGATAGAAAAAAAAACCCATAATCATCCCCCATGGCACACCCAGTCTAAACTTGCACAGGATTGTGCTCTAATAATCTAAAATCATTGCCAGCAACCAGAAACTTTTACTAAGCCTGCCTATGAAAGCAAAGTTCTCCTATAGAAAGCTTCCCTTTGTTTGGAAACAGCTCATTTGTTCTCATTCTGTGCTAAACGTTAGTGAAAACTGAAAGAGTGCTGGTAAAAAATAGCCAAATGCCATGATTATGACTCCCAAATAATTCTAGGTGATGCATCACAAAATTCCAAATTCCATGCCAAGAATATACTGTGTAAGCACATGTGCATGCCTTCATTTTGTACAGTTTAGTCAGCTTTCCAAAGTATGCTGCTCCACTGGAAATTTTGTAATTTATGAAGAGGATTATTCAGTGGAAGAATTTGGAAAGAAAAAAAAATGCTGTTTTGGGTAACTGTTGCAGGGGAACGGATTCAACCCATCACGGAGGAAGGACAGAGATTCTTCTAACCCAATGACCGCCAGGATAAGCACCAATTACTACTCTTCTGATTGTGAATATTCTAATAGCATTCGGACAGTAAATCTACAGTGATGTTCTGAATCTTGGGAGAAAGAATTCTTTCAAAACAAAGTTCCAAAAGCTCTCTCCCACGTCATACCTTTAAGAACGTAAGAGTTGTGGTGGATCAGGCCAGAGGCTGATCCACTCTTGCATTCTGTTTGCACAGGCCCTTATGAGAAGCCTGTAATACAAGAGCACCCAGTTGTCCATCTTGTTCCTTGAGGACTCCCACCTTCACTAACTACAGAACGTTCCTGTAAAGCAGACAGCTCCAACCATTCCTAACCACCCTCCCTGGAAGCAATATCGGGAGTGTGCTCTCTGGGAGGCTGAGCTCTGAAGTGACGTTTATGCCAGGCACATCAAGCTCTGCTCAGACCCAGAAGACAAAAGATGCAAAGAAGGAGGCACATGATACGAAGGAGCACACTGTAAGCATGGACATCCCAAAACAGACATGCCACGGCAAGACATACATACAAACGAACATCCATCTTTTGCATCTTGTTAGCAGAAATAGAAGAAATTCAGCTGGGTCATATTTCTGTTCCTTCTAGCAGGCCAGGGACAAAACAAACACGAAGTACTGACCCATGCTAAGCAGCGCTGGCCCTGTCAATGCCCAACGTGTAGGTTATAGAATGGACCAAGGGGGGAATCTGAGGCACAGCTGCCTTTGGCTGGTTTAGGATTTGTGACCACTATAGCTGCTGGTAACAATAAGTCCAAAACAGCAGCGAATTCTAGTTTACTGTCTGTGAGTGATGGGCGGCTACATGCCACCCAGTCAGTCCAACATGGCTATGAGGAGCAACCAGCAACAGCTCAGCATCACCTCTAAGGGGCAGAATATTGGTTTGTCACCTCCCCAATAAGCTGAAGTCTGGAGCCAAGGCTTGCGATTGGTTTCCCATTCCTGGCTTGTTAAAACTACAAGCCAGGATTTCCAGTTCAGACACAATAATATCCTGGCTTATCATTAGATGTAAACACAGTCATTGTACATACATTTCTTTTCAGCAGCTTAATAAAAGCTCAGAGGTAACATGGCTGGAAACAACATTCAATAAAAGTTCAGGAATATGAAAAAGTATACTGCAGTATTCCTTATTTACCTTTCTGATGTCTTGCAATCTGCTGAGAATCAGTTCATCATCACCCAGTACCATTCGCTGCACTAAGGAAAATAAAAACATTTCTTTTGGGGTTCTATTTTTGATTCAAATAATTATGAGACTTATTAACATAATCAGAATTTCCAATGGATAACTAGTTGATCCAGTTAAGTTCAATCTGTTCAGTAGTAAATGAAATAACAGAAATGACAACTTTGAAAAGAATTAAACCCAAAGGCTTAAGTTTCAGGCTCTTCAAACTGAAACCCAATGATCAGACTTCTGAAAACCAGCACTAACATTAAACTGCAGAGCCATGCAGTAACAACAGAAACGTGTGGGGATTTTTTAAAATTAAATTTCTACCCAACCCATTCGTCAGGATGACTCTCTGGGAAGCTTACAGGATATAACAACAAAGATACTGACTTACCTTGTTTGGAGCCCATGAGTACCTCAACTAGTTTGAAGTTCTGGGAACACTCCACCTGACAAAAGATAAACATATTCAAACAGATTTCTACTAAGTAAACACCCCTTTAGCTTTGATACTTGTATATCTTTTCAAGAAAGATATTAATATAATGCAGAAATTAGATTTTCCTGTTGTACTACAGCTTTCCCAACCTCAGTTGTACAGCCTACAAAGCAACACCAAATCATGGGGTTAAATTAGATGCTGAATTACATGTTCCTTCATTGACTGCACTAATTCCAGAATATTGTGTATACGGGGGGAAGGGTGGTGCCCAGTGTGCAATGCTCAGCCACCAAGGGGTTCCTCTTAAGGAGTGGGCCTTAGTTTGCATAGATGTCTTTCCCTGGCCCAGCTAGTTTTAACAAGATCACAAACACCATCAGTTAACAGAGGATTCCAAATTTAGGCAACCCGATACAGAAGAGAACCAGGTAATCAACAGAACAAGGAATCATTAGCAGTTCTTCAAGCTTGAATTGCCTGTTCTTAAGAAAGGCCTTGCTTGAGGCCCCAGGACAGCACAAGATACAATCCCAGCAAAGGAAGGAATGTGTGAACGTTACCTCTAAGATTCCCTCCTGCTGGCACGATTCTTCAGTAGGGCACACACTCTTTTCCTCTGCAAGGTGTATTTGTGGGTGGGTGAAAGAAGGCAGCTCGAGCTGCCCTTCCAGCTCACTTCAGCCTGCAATAGCAGGCTCACATATAAGCCACTTAAGCAGGACCCTGACCTTGCCTGTTGGAAATGCTTGCTGCCATTTTTGCAGGGACTCTAACAGAATGGGAGCCCAGCCCTGACCTCCTCCTGCCAACTCAAGAGAAAGTAAAAAGAAGATGAGTGGCAAGCTGCAGTCTTACTGGCTCTCAGCACATCCACCTTCCTTCTTTCAGGAGGCAGAGAAATAGATGCAGGGAGGGGAACTCAGAACCGATCCTAGTAAATCCTAGAAAGGTTCACCTCTTTCATTCTCATCCCTTTCTCCCATTCCTTCCCTTCCTCCAGCGGGTGAGTACCACAGCTACAGGGGAAATGGCCACTCAGCCTGCCAGGACACTGGAGGACTTGAAGCAGATAAACCTGCAAAGTCTAGCGATCCACAATGGAACCCCATTGTCCTCCTTCTGTGCCATTGCTTTAATTTTTGTAACATGGGCATTTGGAGGTTCTCTGATCTGAATACAAGCCGAAGTAGGAAAAAACAGAAGACAAAATTATCCATTCAGTATCATTTACCTGGCATCCAAGTAGTGGTAGAACTTTTTTGATTACCATCTGGGTAGTGCTTTCTTTATCTATTCGTATTGAGACACAGGCCATTCCAACCCTGGAGAAGGGGAACAACAAGGAATAACTTGTGCAAGCTGGGGAGGGTCAGAGAAACATCAACAGGGAGCACCTTCTCTGAAGTATGTTCACTAAGCTTGCAAGACCTTGAGCTTTTCTACACAAGGCATTTATTTTATGCTGATCAGCATCAAGACAACACTGTGATCCCCCCACTGCCAGTTTTGCTTCTGTTTGTAAACAGCATTTTCTGCCAGCTTTTTTTTAGAGCAAGGAAAATGGGATATTATTTCTTACAGTATTTGTGCTATTCTGTTACACCACATGCCACCTAGAGATTATATAGCTGAACAGCAGGGCTTGGATCTCAATTCCAGAACAAAATCAAAAGCACATGCAGGGAATTAACAGCCTTGAGTAGAACAGCCCCTTGACCCTAAAGCCCAGTTCCTAAAACCAGTTCTCAAAGCTTTAATGGCTTGTTTATACTTAGATTCACCCCAACCATGGAAAAAGCAAACCGGGGGGGGGGGGGCAGGGATGTAATAGCACAAGAAATCCACAAATAAAAGCCCCTGAACCTTCCCCACCCCATCATTTATTTCCCTCTAAGCAGACTCACTTCTTGTGTCAAATCATAGCCAAGGAAGAAATGGCAACAAGGGGACAGACATAAGCCAAGAGTTAAGCCAAGAGCAAGAGGAATGCAGCGTCCATTTCACCCCTTTTGCTCTTAAAACCACAGCTCCCCGGCCACCCTCTACACCCACTTTCTATGTAGTTTGGTCCAATCTGGGTTTGCCACCATCATAAATCCATTGGCTCAGCAATTCCTGTTCTCTAGTCAGACCCCAACAATGATTTAGAAAAGAGTTAAAAACGAATGTTAGAGCCCTTTTAACTATGGCAGAGCAATCACGGTCTAAGAATAAAAGGGAAGGGGCAGCACTAAATACACACACACACACCCTTTTCAAAGTGTACTGCAGAGACAGGGAAATTTTGGCCTCCATAGACAGGATCTGGCCTATTGGTGTTTCCCTGCCAAGCCGCCTGTCGGCTTCAGTCCCTACCCCTGCCTAAAGCTCAGTGCTAGAGAACAGCTTCTTGATAACAGGAAGGCCTTTTCTTTTTCTGTGCAAAAAGGGGATCAAAGTGATCTCCTCTACGGCTAGCTAAACACAGAAAAGGGACCCCAAAGATTCAATTCCTGACATCCCCCGGAGCATAGGACTGGGAGGCAGTCAAGCCCACAAGGTTTGAATAGTTTTCCAGTCTGCCCCCATCCCTGCCCAACTTCTGGTAAACAGAATTTGAAAATGGACCGAGCCAACACTGCTTCAAGTGTTACAGCTTTTCATGGATGTGCACCATCTGCCAGCACCACAAATAATTACGTGTTTTGATGTGGCCCCCCAAGAATTTTACGCTTTGATTATTTGTTTGTTTAAAATATTTCTATACTATTCAGTCCATGACTCTCAGGATTCTTTATGATATTCATTTATCTGCAAGGTTTATATACGGCTGCATATTCTGCTATGGAGATTGCAGAGTAGGAAGCAAGAAAAGATAGAACAGATGAAAAAGCAATGCAATAGGCCACAAACAAAATCAATATAACCATGGTTAGTTCAGGAAGGTGCCTGAAAGAAGACAATGTTGGTGCCTTCCTGACCTTCAGAGGCAGAGATTTCCAGAGAAATGACACACTGAAGGCTCTTCTTCAGGTGGCCTCCAGTCAGACCACAGGTCCATATGGACCCATCAGAGACCTCAGCACCCTGGCAGGTTGGCAAGGGAAAAGGTGCTCTCTCAGGTATCCTGGCCCCAAGTTGTTTAGGGTTGTTTAAACCTGGCCCAGAAGTGAAATGGCAGCCTGTGCAGTTTCCTCTGTGAAGGAGTTGCATCCCCAAAAGGGGAACAGATGAGCGCCTTAGGCTTGGGGCAACCAGCCATACCTGAGCTGTTTTATATCTTCCTTTACACTCTGTCCAATAAATAAAACTTGTGGTAAGTTCAATCTGAAGTTTAGAAAATAATACAACTTCAGACACTTATGTTGAAAGGATACTTCTGGTAAAATTTAAAGTTGCCATTAGTCACAATTCTGTATAAATGCAGTGGGGATGTGTCTTAACACTTTGTAAGTTTCTTAGAATTATTTATAATTAAAAGCAGGCTAAGCTTTAAAAATAAATAAGCTCTCATTTTCTTAAAACATATCTAAGGCTGTACATGTCAGTCCTGTTCTAATGAAGTCATGGTTTCACACATTTGGAATTTAGAGAGAAAAAGGTCACTCACTTCAGCCACCCAGGATATATTTTTATGATTTCACTGTCCCTTGATTTCGCTCTGATAATCCAAGCTTCGAAAACAGCTTCTCGGAATACAGACCCAGGGTGGATCTCTTCTGTGGTATCATTCTTATTAATGATGTCATCACAAAACAAGGCCTGCTGAGTGAATGTCTGAAGTTCATAGTCTTGTTGATCATCATTAATGTAGTACACCCTCAATGCCGCCTCCTACGACAGGAGAGAAACACAGCTGATTTGTCACACACTTTACTGGAACAGAGATATGACCCTGATGGACATGATGGACCGTGGGCAGGTTCACATGTAATGGCAACCCATAATGGTAAATCGCCATGGCAGCTTGGGGTTAAGTGCCAAGCAGCTACAAGCAGCCTGATAGACTATCTGGCTCACCATGGTTGCTTTGCTCCTTCCCTCGCCTCCTTCCCCCTCATTCTCGCAAGCAGGATTCCAAAAAATGTCACGGAGAGGAATGAGGTTCCTCTCTTTGGCAGCCACGACCACAAGCCAATTTGCCCACCGTGGCTTTCAGGAGTCTCTGGTGCAGACCAACATGCAGCAGAGAAGATGGGGGAGCTGCTCAGGCACCTCCACCTCCCGCTCCAGAGGTCTCCTTGTGATCCACCGCCAGGCACAAGAGGGGCAATCAACTGGGCAGCAAAGCCAGAAGTGGGAGTGCCACTCATTCGCAGATTCCCCTGCTCCTCTGCAGTGGGAGCAGGGAAAAGGGAGTCTGGGCAAGACTGGGAACAGAACACCCCTGCTTAGCTCAGGCCCTCCCTTGCCTGTTCGTGCTCAAGCAGCCTCTTCTCTGCCACATGGAGATGCTCCCTTCTGTCACATCAGAAAGAAAGCCCGTCTGCTGCGGATGGGGGGAAGCAATGCGCTGTGCATGGCTGCCTCCATGGGGGCAGCACCGCTTGTCTGGCTTCCGTCCCGCTGCTTGGAAGAAAGGAGCAAGGAAGCGGGGTGCCAAGAAGAGCCCTCTCTTGTTCTGGGGATGTTCCTGCATTGTGTTGTGCATCCAAGTTCAGAGGACAAAACAGGCAGTCATGCGAGGGAGAAACCCAAGAACAGACTGATGCTACTGACTCTGCTTTTTGATCATGATAAATCACAGTGGAAAATCACTGCAACTGGAATACACAACCAAGAACTGTTGACAACAATTAACAGCAAGTGTTCTGGTCAGCAATTATATTTTCCTGAAGGGCTATTTTGACAAGACCAGAAACCCTCTGCCCCTGCCTTAAAGGTGGCAAGAACTGTTACCACATATTTATCTCAGCTCCTTTTTCTCTTTCTTGGCAACTGGGCGCCAGACCTCTCCTTTCAGGATGCAGACACAAATTAGCCGTGGGGGCTCCAGTGTCTAATTCCCAAACGAGGGGAAATCTAAGCTCGGTATAGCAAAGAATACTATTATGCACAATATCAGATGTTAAAGAAGCCAGTATATGTTTCAAGCTAGCAGGAAAGAAAGCACAGATGGAGTATAAATGCTGAGTTCCATTCTCAGGCTCTCAGTGGACAAAAAAGGACAGAATCTACCAGATAAACAGGTATAACCCAGCAGGGCAATTCTTGTGCACTTTGCAACAGCTACTATATCAGGTAGAATTTGAGTTATAGTCATGATTAGTGTTTTGGAATACCAGCCTCATATTTTGCCACACACGGAGATAGTTAACAGTTTTCAGTGTTTTCATTTTAGGATACACAGACTTCAGCATAAATCACGGACGTTCTTACCACAATTTCTTCACTTTTTGCAATCCTTGGAACTGTAATAAGCCGATATTGATTGCGTTTTACTGCATCGTTCCCATCATATATTTTTACTATTTGTTTACCTAGAAATAAGATTGTATTTTAATGCTTAATACAAGAAATAAAGTAAAACAGAATTTGCATACAAACTGCTAAGGCATTCTTAAGGTCATTTATAGGTGCATCTTCTTGGAACCTTAGTTCTATTTCCATTCCCTAAATTGCCATGCAGAAAATTTAACAATAATTTCTCAGACTTCAAGCAAACATCGCCTTATTTCTCTGAAAGAATGAAATGCCTTTAAGAAACTACTTAAACCCATTTTTCTCATTATCCCATTTGATCTGATTTTTCTTAGTGTTACCAGCTCGGAAGTACAGTTGCCAGGTTCTGATTGCAAAAGCACCGGCATCTGGGGTGGGGTCAGCTGCAGGTATTGTGGCTGACCAGTTTTTATCTTTGGCTGCATGACCAAGCTGGCTTTACTGGCCAGGCCAACCTTTTGGAAAGCTTCATCAGAAATACTGCTATATTTAAAATAAATGCCATAAAACCATATAACCCTAACCCTCATGTGTGTGTGTTTGTGTGTGTTTCCCCACCTCGCAAGTCTGGTTAAGTATAAGAAATGTAGCTTCAAGGAAACAAGTGCTTCTGGACTCTACACAAGCACATGGATTTCTTGCTCCCCAGAACTGGCCACTGGCTCCAGTCTTCAAGATACACTGGGGAAGCAGGGCACAGAGCTTTCGTAAGCAAGACGCTAATGACGGCAGGTGGCTAGTGGGCCCAGGAAAGCTCCATAAAAGTATCAACCTACCCCCACAACCCAATGAAATCCCCTCACTACATCTGTCGCACTAGCTTTGTTCCTAGCTGTCTTGGGACCAAAAACACATCACAGGAAGACAAGCCCGGACAACACTGGCCGGCATCTCCCTCCACCTCACACTTTTAAAAAGTGTCATGCTGTGACACTGTGAGGGTTTGCATGTCATGACAGCCTAATGAGGTGATTTGTCCCATTGGATTGGTTGTTGCACAAAGCACCTGCGATGAGGCCAACAGATGAAGTGTTTCTTCCCACACATTCCTCTAGGTGGCCATCCAGGAGACGCCATGAATGGAATGGGTGCCGTCTCCTTCCCCACTTTCAGCTCAGTGCAATGATTTGTGCCCTCCCACCCCACCTCCCACTTTTCTAGGCGATAGCAAAAGCTGTGGTCTCTGTCTGGGTAACTGCAAGCTGCCTCCCACAAGGTGCCCAGTGGTACCACAGAGGAGCCGCCCATTGTTACCCCCCCCACACCCTTTTTGGTATGATCCACAAATTTACATGTCCAAACATAAGTTCAGGAGGCTAAAATGGGCTCATCAGGAGGCCCATTCTGCAGGTGTATAAAGAAGGGAAAAGGGGGTGGCCCCACTTGCCATCCATGCCAAATGCCACTTGGGCACTTTGAGAGTAGCTGGGAATATCGGGCACCAATTCACCCCTGGCAAGGGGGTTTTATCACTCCTGCCAAGCAGCTCACATGCAGTTGCATCTGCCTCATGATGGATCATGTTGTCCAGTTCAGCTAACGTGACAGCCCATCCTGAGCCAAAGAAACCCTGCAGCAGACCACTGAATCTTACGTACTTCGCCAACCACATTAAGAACCAACAATTAGTAACCACAAGTGGGTTCGCACAACTTAACAGTCAACAGTTGGGGGTCGTGTTGTGTGGAACAAGTCACTGTGTAAATGGTTCTTTGCCCCTGCAAAGGCAACCACTGAGACAGAGTTGGGGAGAAGGTGGCAGGATAATCACATCAGGTGCTTATGTTGGACAAGTTTCAGGGGAACAAGAGCTGGTGGTGCCAGCACATCTGTGGTGCAGCTTGACAGGAGACAATGTGATACACATTCACTGCCCTCTTGCGAGTAATAGAATTGTTGGATTAATTAAATGCAGGTCACAATCCTAGGCTTTTGCAACTAAGAAATCACAGCAAGTGTAGAACACATCTTTAAAATTGACAAAACCAAGATGATCTCTCACATCTTCATGACTCCAATTTGAACTATATATATTTAAAGAGTTTACAGAGTCACACAGGCAACAGAATGACAGGCACAAACAAAATTAGTCTCAAAAAACCCTCCAATTTCACAAGTAGAGAAAACTCTGAAAACAGGAAAAACAGAATTGCAAAGCTAGCCAATTTAAACCACCAAAAGCAAAAGCATATGCACCAGAAGAAGTTATATAAAAGTTACCATAACACAGAAATTGCGCATGAGTCAGCACTAAAAGAATCAAGTCAAGGCTTGATATTAGAATAGCAGCTTTAAACTAAAATCTCTGATGACTCATTTCTGTGTGATGTTCTGTTTATCTTTTGTTTTCTAAACCTTCAGATGTTGTTCACACAATATCACCAAGGTACTAAAAATAAACATGAGGGTGGCCAAAAAGTTGTTTGTCAAAGCGAATACAGACTTGCAGGTATACAATGACTTTCTTTATACGGAAGATCTTTTAAAAAGCGTTACAGCTTTAAGAGCTACAAGTTCATTTTAGCCTTCATAAAGATAAAGATGACGGCCAGGATCCAGAGCTGTTCCATGAACCCAAGAAGGCTCTCCAGAGCAATCCTATTCAGAAGCAAACCACCCGAGTCCCAAAAGGTTTATTTCTAAGTGTGGATCAACGTACCGTGTGGCAAACCCCACTGAAATCAATTATTATTCTACATTTCTTTTTCCTCTTGTGAGGAACCCAAGCCAGATTAGATGGCTCTGTTTTACCCTTGCAGAAACAACCCTGTGAGCTAACTGAGGCTGAGAGTGAGAGACCAGCCCAAAGTCGCCCAGTGAGCTCCACGGCCAAGAGGGGACTAGAACCCAGATCTCCCGGGTGCCCAGTCTAGCACTTTTGGCACCAAACCAGCTCTCAGTGGGACTAGCTGGGTCTGCTTTTCTTGAACAGCCACTCTCTTTTGATCTCCTCTGCCCCACAGAGCAAAGTGCTCATGACACCTCATGAAATTTCAAGAGCAACTTGTAAAATTGGTATGTTGAGGGCGAGGGCAGGGGCTTACCTGGAGTAGGAAAAGCAAAAAACACTGCTGGGCTACATGTTGCCCTCCAGATGTGTTGGAATACAACCCCCAACATGCTGGGAGCTGTCATCTAACACAACTGGAGGGAAACAGGATGGAGAGGCTGCTTCCTCAGGCTGACATGTGGCTCATGACCCTTAGCAAACGACTTGAGTTGTTCCTCCCTCTGCAGGGGAAATCCAGAAAATACTTTCTTCCTATACCAACAATAGCCCCAAGTATATTGTACTTCTGTATGGTTTGCTGAGAGACACTTTGGGAACAAGCCTGCCTGATTTATATAATATATAAAGCACACCACATGCAGCTTTTTGGATCTGGACCAGTGCAAGACCAGCGCTACTCATGATTTTATTGATCTTTTTAGTTACAACCATTTTAATCCCAGCTTTCTATTAAATGCTTGGTGTTTGGTTCAATACCAGTGCCAGGCAATTTCAGTTTTGCAATAAATCCCATTATGCTTCATGTTACTAATTCAAATCTGTACAGATCTTTTATTTTCTATTACACCCTCCTTAATACCGGAACCTAAGTATTCAGTAGTGAAACATTAATACTTTAGAACAGCTGTATTGCACATACTCCAAAACCTTCGCTTCAATTCACCAAATTGAAGGTTGAGATTACAGGCAGTCCCCAGGATACGAACGAGCCCCATTCCTGAGAAAATGGAAATCCGTCTTTAATTTGAATATGTATGTAAGTCAGATCGCATACAGACAACCTTCCACATTTGTGGGGGTTAGGGACAGAGGACCCCCATGAAGGTAGAAAAACAGTGAATATCTCTAAGCCCCAAACCACCACCCAAACCCCAGCGCTGCCTCTTTGCAGCAAGGAAATGCCAGAGGAATTTCCCTCTCCGGACGGACGGGATAGGAAGGCGTGCTTCGGAGGCCTCCCTCTCGCCCCTTTAGCTTCCCCCCTCTATATGACGATGGCAATTTTTCCCAGTAATTTATAAACATTATTAGGCTGTATGGCACAGTTTGTCTGTAAATACAGGTTGTTCATAACTCGGATATTTGTAACTTGGCGACTGCCTGCATTCTCACTGGCATATCGCTGCCTTTGCCCTACTACACTTACTGCCAATTCTTTGAAATTGGACTGTGTGATATTAAAAAGCATAAATCTACTTACCTGAGTCTGCTGATGCCTGGGATTCTTTCAGTGATAGTTGTGTTGAGCTATCAACGTCATCATCGTCATCTGTGGAGAGGAAGATTTTCTTTACATGTGAACTGCACAAGATTGCATTGAAGAAAGGTGTGCATGTTTTTTAGTGATCCATAAAATGCATAAACCTGTTTTATTACCTGGAAAATTTTCTACTCTGAATGAATGACAAACAGACCTCAAGACATGTGAGATACATCTGGCAATGCCCTCACTGACCAGGCAAATCTCTCTGCTGGCATATGTATAACAGAAACTGTTGTGGTTGTAAACAAAACTCATGCTATTTATGACACATTTTTCATAGCCTGTACCAGAAAGCCATACAATTTTTACCATTGTTTATTTTTATTTAAGTTATGAGTTTGTTTAACTTGTATATTCAAATGACAACATCGACCCACTGTTTAACAATTCTATTTCTATGAAAATGCAATGTTGATAATTTTTTTACTTTGGTTCCCAGTTTTCTAATGCAAATCAGATTAAAGTCTTCAAGCTCCAATAAGTTGTGAACTTTATTTTTAAAAGATAAATTAAACTAAACTAAATTAAAATCCCATACTATAATATCAATGACAGCTTATCGCATTCAATGCACTGCTTTTAACCCAGTTGCAGAATGACAAGAGTTAAAGTAATTAGAATGTAGTGCCATCCACACCCAGTTTTTTTTAAAATAAATGTTGTATCATAATGTTATGCTCAATTCATTTTATTTGCTTGGGGCATTGTCAAATAACAGTCTGGTAAGCAGTGTGAAGATCAAGATGGCTTGTAAACTGATAATTTTGTGGGAGGGTAGAAACAAGTTAAATTGCCATCCTGAATGGGTGGAGAAGTTACCTTGCACAATTTCTATAATTTATGTGACAAAAACTAGATGCCTTTATAGGTCAGCCATGCCACAGTAATGTTTGTGTTTTCTGTGCACAGTCTGACGATGCTTTTTTTTTTTTTGCTAAAATTATGTATCTCATTCAGCTGGAGAATGAAAAAGATAATGAAACAGCCATTTATTCCAGTGTCCTTGCTAAATGTAGTCCTTGGGGTGCCATCTTTGGACCACATACAGCAGGTTACAAGCCGCTTCACTGGGGCCTGTAAAAATACTACCATACTACCATTCCAAGCAACCGTTTATCTTGCTTGTTCTGTCAACGCCAGTGAATCCTGGGTAGCCTTATGTACCAACAGAAAGAGATCTCTGACTTGACTTAAGAGCTAGTTTTCATAAATTGACAGAAAATCCCATTAGGATTTGTAGTAGAGAATGATGTTACAGGATTATACCGAAACTAACTTCCTATGTAGTCATAAGTAATGCGGAAGTTGGCAAGGTCCACCTGATTTGTTATTTCAAGCACCACTTTTTCCATCTCTGAAGGATAAAGCTTTTTATAGGCCTTTTTTATCACAGGAAGTTAAATTTCAGGATGTGCTACATGACATATGCATATTAAACCATTGCAAAACTAGCCATAACAAGTTTGCCCTCTGTACTTTTAAAGTGCATTTTTCCATAAATACCCACGGAAAGATATATAACTCCCCACTCTCATTTATGCATCAAATTCTAATGGAAACAACGTTTTAGGTTGGGGGCTTTTCTTTCCTCTTTTCTTTTCAAGCTATCTAGTGTAATTAAGGACACCACCCTATGGGAAGCCTGTAACCCGAAGGCCACCTCCACACTCCTCCCACTCTGCAAAGCAGCTAGGTGGTCAGTTTTGGTTGTCTCACTGCAGAGTGTTGGAGAGGGAGAGAAGGAGACTGAAGCACTGCCAAGAAAAGTCGTATCGTACCTTTGCCCTTCCTGCTGCAATACCCAGTAACCCCTTTCTCTGAGGTTGCTTTTGTGGCCTTGGAGGAGCAGCTGGCATTTTGTTTCTGCACCAGCTGCAAAGGGGGGCAGGGGGTTCATACAAAGCTGTGGTCCTCTAAACACTCTCTAGGTGACATGGATTGCTGTGTTAACCAAGGAACAAAAACGTTAAGTTCTCAAACATTTGTTGAGAAAGGCTTGACCAATTTTGTTGGTGTTCGTTTCAAAATGACTCAGAAAGACCAGAAAAGATTTATCCACAGGTCTGAAAGATAGCCCCGTGTATTTGCAAACTAAACTTTTAAACTCACTTTTAGCAAAGCATATACAAGGGCAAATTTCACACAAACCAACTCTGACAGACTGTTTGTATTAACTCCACTTTGAAGCATGTTCTGTAAAATATGAATGCGTAAGAGGCTGCAATTAAGGAACTGAGAGGGCATTATGACAACACAAACTCCCATCTCTCATCCCTTTTCCTCTTAACAAGACACAGGGAAGGTGTCACCATTGACCTCAAGTAATGTGAGCCAGTGCAATACTAAATGTGGTTGCGCAAAGGCTCGTTGCATTCAATGAGACTTACTACCTAGTCATTTGTGTTTAGAACGGCAACCTTACTGTAATGTGCTCTACGGGGCTCTGCCTTTCAAGATGGTCCAGACTCTTCAATTAATTCAGAACAGAGCAGCGAGGCTGTTGACAAGGACTGGTCCTAGAGAGCACATCATGCCGGTCCTCTGTCAGCTGCACTGGCTGTCGCCATCCAGGCCCAATGTAAAGTGTTGACATTCACATACAAAGCCCTAAACGACTTGGGGCCAAGATATGTGAAGGAAGGCCTGTGTCCATATATCCCTACCAGACTGCAAAGATCTTTAACCGAGGCCGTTCTTTGGGAGCCGCACCCCTAAAGAAGTGATGGGGAAAAGGCTAGGAGGCTCCATCTTTGCACCCCACTTGTGGAACGCGCTCCCTAAGGTAGGGTGCTTGATGCCTTGGCTACTCAGCTTTCATTGCCAGGTTAAGACATTTGTTTGTTAAGACCTGTTTTTAGTAGTTACACCAGTTTTATTCTGCTATTTTTTGCAGCTTGGTTATTGTATTTTCCTGTCTTGTATATTACATTGGATTTATTTCTGTATAGTTGATTGCATTGTTTTAATTCTTGTTTTATAGTTTTATGCTGGTTATGCTTCTTATTGTAAGCCACCCAGAGAGCCATCAGGCTATGGGGGGCATATAAATATAATGAATAAATGTATTTATTATTGGGGATATTTCTAGCCTGTCCAATCACTTTCGTCTCTGGACGGTTCACAGATAAATAAACCTAATCATGGTTAAGAAGTAGTTAGCAATGTATCTTCTGAGGCTCTAGGCTCTGAAGGATACAAATAACAGAGACCCTGAAAATTACAGCTGAAGTCATTAATCATGCTTTTTTTATTTGCTTAAAATAACTGTCAGGAGCACTAAGAGCCAGTTTAGCTTCATGACCACTGACATTCACATTTAATGGATGAAAACCCTATGATCCATCTTATCCAAAGGTACTGAAGTGTAACCATGTCCAGGACTAGTGAAGGGTCAATTAAAAAAAAAAGTGCTTGACTAATGTGTCACACTTACATTGGATGCTAAAAGACCTAATTTCCACCATGTTTAAGGCAGCAAGACAACTCCAGAACTTAAAAATGATCCCTTCAGGGCAGATAAAGATCTGTCCTATCCATCATTCTACGTTCAAGGGTGACCAAGCTGAAACCTCTGGAAGGTTTCATGTGTTGTCCACCTCCTGTTCTTTGCTTCCAGAACACTGTCTTCAACACTGTCTCCACAATTGGAGGTTCAATTTAGCCATCATGACCAATTAGCCATTGGCAGAACTTGCCACATGGTCCTAATAACCACAGACAGACCTATCTCCACTGTGAAATGGAATGATTATATATACTCAGATAGATGTGAGCATATCTTTTTTGAAAGCCAGGAATTATACATGAATGATGTACTCTAGGTGGCAGTAAAATATTATTCTGGAAATTTAACAAACTATTTTCAGCCACAGCCAAGACAACCACCAGGAGGGGTGGGAGGTAGTAGTTTTCAAATTGTATGCATCCACTGAAGCCTTTTCATACTGCACTGTATATAATCTGATCCTAAATTTCTTTTTAGCTTTACTTTAAGCACACAATGGGCAAGTAGCAAAGGTTAGATCTAGAGTAAAAATAAATTAGGATCTTGTTTAACCCTCACATTAGCAAATGTTATTTACTGTTTTACTTTGTCATTATTCAAAATATTTTTTTCCAAGACAGGATTAAAGCATTTATATGTATCTAGTATACTGTAAAGTAACTGCAAAGACAGGAAAGTAAGGAAAGGATGCATCCTAAAATATTGACCTTCCTCGTGTTCAGTTGTAACAGGTTTGCAAATAATAAAGACAAGCAGGTGTCATTGTGCACTGCCTACAAAAGCAGACAATGCTCTCTTAACTTTCACAGGTTAAGCCATTAAATTAAAGCCATCTATTCAATATAAACTTTTTGTCCTTGCTTCAAAAATGCACCAGACTTGAAGTCATCTACTTGCTATATATTCCTTATAGGAAACACATTTTCAAAACATGAAAACGATTTCTTGACATTCTGAATCTGGCATGACCATTCATTTCTTCACCTTCATCTTTAATAAAGAGATGTCTAACCCTCAGAAAATTTCTGAACAGCTGCAGGCAAGTTTCCAGAACTGTAAAAAACACATTAGAGGGCTGAATGAGGCCTGCGGGCTGCATGTTGCATACTCCTCCTCTCCAGAGTCTCTCCTTTAAAGAATGACTAGCACTCTGGCAATAAAACATTTCAACTCATCATCAATCTCTAAACTGCTAATGAAGCAAAAGTTTAGCACATATGCATTCAGAAATTTACCTGGTTCTGTCTGTAAGCTCTCCGATATCCGAAAACAGTGCATTTTACTGAAGTTACGAGAAAATAAGCGCACACAGTTTGGAGGAAGAATCATATTTCTTAGTCTTCCAAATGCACATTCTGGAGGTTCAATCACATAGCAAGCAGCATGAGCCTATGAAAAATACAGCGTCAAGGTATTGTAAAGTTACGTCTAAGTTCATTCATATATTTTTAATTCATGACAGCAACTGGCTGGTCAATATGTTACAGCACTTTAACAACTCTACACCTAAGTTCTATAAAGAAGTTGTCCCTGCCCCATCTTTCCTGTCACAACAGAACTGTGACAATGTATAAGCAGCAATGTATAAGCACCAATAAAGACTGGCAAGCAAAAAGTTGGAAGGAAGCTAATATTTCTTCCCAAAGCGATCACATCACACATATACTTACGCACACTTCACATTTCAGTGCTATTCTGAACCCCCTTTGTCACAGAAGACAGGCACCAACCGTAAAGGAATTAACCCAAAATCCAGACGCCCCTTTGTGACCTCAGATGGAAGGTACATTTGTTTCACAAGAGGGGGAAGACCCACATGCATGAAGAAGCACACGTGTGAATCACTGATGCACATAAATCAGAAATCGACTTCGATGGAGTGTGCGCGTATGTGCGCGCACAGCGGGCAGTTCACTGTAAAGAGAATGGGAGATTTTCCTATCCATTTATAAAGTTACTTTTTAATCTACTCCCTTATCCTACAGTGTAGGCCTGACAATGTCACATCCTGGTTTGGTACTATTTTTTAAGAGAGTCTTAATTTGTCCCCCACCCCACCCCATTTCAAATGAAACATAAAGTAAATCTATTACAGCTTTTCACCTCCCTCTAGAAATTTATTAACTGTATTCTCCTTGTTTAACAGTTTAAGCAGACAGTTTTGCAACTAATGAGTCAATGAACTGCAAAAATAGAGTACTGGACTTTTGAAAGCACTATAATTGCCAGTACTTTCTGTATCTGATGCCTTACAAAGAAAAATGCAGTAGTAGCCAAGACACCTTCAGACCTTCCTGTCCCAACAGTGCAAGAGGCCTTTTACCATAATGATTTCTGATTTCTCTTGAATAAGCAAAAGATACTTACAAGCCTTCTGCTTTTATAGTCAGGCAAGTGGGGAAGTGTTGTTGAAGCTTTTGCACAAGTCTGTCGCCCAGTGGAATTTTCCCCTAGCTAAGCCCAAATACTGTAAGTGAGCCCAGCTGAGAGAGATACACAAATGGGGAATGCAGGAAGGCTATCCCAGAACCTACACATTCCCCATCATCAGCACCACCACCACCACCACCTTTTGCTTTCAACATCAGACCCACATGCTGCCAGAATATACAATTCAGGTGGACGTACATATAAAGGGAAAGGTCTGCTACTGCGGCACCTAGTTTAGTCCTAAGACTTGCAATACACAAATAATTTAGATGGAAACATACAGAACTGGTATGCATGTAACATCAACCCACAGTTTTTTGTTGTCTATGGTTGAACTGCAGGTTGTTTTTGAATCATGGGTTCTTGATATGTATGAACTCTACTCTGTGATTTAATCATGCATTTTCAACTATGAACAACCCAAAGTCTGCAACCTGATGGCAAACTGGGTAATAACAACCCAGTATTCAGCGCCCATCCATGCTCAACCCGCATTCTGGGTTACTGTTACAAGCAAACCAAACCAAACCAAGAAGCTACAGCTGAACAACAAAGCTCATCCTTTCCACCCAGGAGATTTTGCATTCAAACCCTGGCCTCTCTAGGGTAAGGAGCCCAGATAACAAGATAAAAAAAAGACATTGGCCTGAAACCTTGGCAATCTGCTTCAAGTAAGAGCACAGACAGGGCTAGAGGGAAGATGAACTTTTTATGTTCATCTGATTTAAAATAAAAATAAAACCTGTTACACAGAAGAACTATGTAAACCCGAGTATTGGATAAGGCATTATTCAAGACACTGTTATATCGATAGACAATGTCACATCCTTGCCAATTTTAAGATTGGTAATGTCATCCAAAAGCAACCCCCTTTCTATCTGAAGATTAAAGGAAGGTTACACTATGGCATAGTATGGACTCCGAAGACCTTGGTTCTAGCACCCACTCAGTCATTAAGCTCACAGGGTGTCTTTGGGGCAGTCAGAGACCTGCAGCTTAACCTACCTCACAGGATTGTTGTGAGGATATAGTAAAGAGGAGGAGACCCATGTAAGCTACCTTGGGTTCCTTGATAGCTATAAATGTAATGTGGCAACAACAGCAAGCATTCTAATTTCCTTGGAGCACAATTCTATGCAAGTTTCAACAGAAAAACTCCCTAGAATTCCCAGCATCCCCAGTCAACTGCCTGCACTACTGCATTACACTGTGTACTCATCATATTTGAGTATAAATATATTGTTCCAGCGTTGGGGTTAAACAAAAAGCTTGCATCGTTCTCTTTCTATTATAAATTGCCTAGAGTGAGTCACCAAGTTCCTAAGGTACATACCAGAATTCCACACCATTCGCATCTCATACCCGAGAGCACCTCTGAAGAGCCACACGTTTTCTTGCAGACTTTGCAACGTGCACCTGAAGGAAGGTTGCCTTCCCTCCAGTGATGATGGTACGTGTCCTGTAGGAAGTACACAAAACAAATCAATTATCCCCAAAAAACCATGCGGCACATATACTGATAAAGTATTTACATGAGCTGCATTGTAAGTATGAACATGGAACCTTAAAAAAGCACCAAGAAACACACATTTCATGAACGACGTTTCAGAGCAAACAACAACAAACTTGCCTGCATATTAAGCCTTAGAAGACAAGTCTTGTGTACCTCCTCAGACATTTACTTTCCTGTGGGTTTTAAACAGAAATTATACTTACGTGATCTTGATGACCATCTTGATGGCACTGGCGACAGTCACTGCAAGCAAACGGGACACAATCTGTATGCACGTGTAGCTCACACACTGGAAATAAATGGAACGAAAAGGGAAAATGAGCTCACTATTGGCTTGCATCTGTATATTCTTTTCTTGAGTTTTACTCTTTAAAAAGATGGTCCTTGAATACTGAGGACTGAAACTATTCTGAACCCAGGATAAAAAGTACACCAAGACAGGACCCAGCTTAGGCCAAATTAGATATAATACCATTCTCATGATAAGCAACTGAGTAATTTTTTTAATGTGCAAACATTGTTGGGAAGAGGCTGATCCAGACTGCGATGTCAACAGAAGCAAAAGTTAAGGGGAAAAATCCCACCCTGCCACAGCAGGTCCTGATCAAGATCAGGAGGGGCTATGTTGGCTATTTACACTTGAAAACAAGCACTCGGGTGTTGATTGCATGAATGGTGTCTGGTCTACTTAGAGAAGATTACTAGATATTGAATCTTGGAGGGCAGCACTGAGGAGGACCCTCTGCTGTTTCATAGCTCTATGAAAACTACATTAGAATTTTTTCTTGAGTGTCAACTGCTTCTTGTACAATAACAATTAAACCCCCAGCAACAAACAGAGAAGGCAGTGAAGGCACAGCTTCAATGATGATTCTCTGATAAAGACTATTCTGTTACAAACAAGAGGATGCAGCTTCTGCAGCTGGCTTCCTTTTAAGCCATTTTTTTCCTGGAAGCTTCAGATTTCCCTCTGCCAAGATACTTGTCAAATACAGTTCTGAAGACCACACCACCACTAGGGTGGCAGACAATTAACAGCAGAATTAATTAGGCAATGCTGTTAGGAACGTGAGCCATTATCCTTCAGCCTTACCTTCACAGCGAACAGCTGGAGACTCTAATTGCTTTCTACACACAGCACAGAATTTTCTCTTGTAATGTCCTGGAGGTCCTAAACAATGTGCAACTGGAACCTGTACAGAAGAAAAGTGTCCTTAAACTGTATGTTGCATTCTGAAAATCAGCAGGACTGCATGCATTTATACAGGTGACTAAAAGGACTTAAGAACAGTTTAAGGGAGTCAAAATTTCTGCGTCATCCCCAGTCAGAATCCAAGACCTCATTCTCACATAACAGTGCAATCCTAGGGGGATGCCCACAAGCCTCCAAGCTTGGAGGAGCGGTGGAGACAATGTTTGCCTCCCCACTCCATGCCCTCTGCATTTTTGCTAGATCACTATTTGCAAATGTTTAGTGATGGAATTCCAGAGGGAGAAGGAGAAGACTGGAGCAGTTTCAAGATACCTCAAATCTTGGCCACTCCGAATTCTTTCCTTCCCCACTCCCAAAACTTCCTCTTCTTCAACACTTCACCCCGAGGTTGCTTTCCCAACTTTGGAGAAGAAGCCAGTTTGATGTACCTGTGCCATGAGCAGGAGGACACGGGAATCCAACCCTCAGCTCCATGTCAGAGTACTCAGAGTTGGGAATCCACAGTATCCTATGGCCCCATTTAGGGCCCATATAACCATTCCTTATGTGTACAAGCCCAGCATATAAGCCCTCTCCATCCTAATAAGACAACTTTCCTTGGCAACTTGCTGTTGAATACTAGGGATAGGCATGGAATTTCTTTGGTTCATATTTTAATATTAGCTTACCTAATATTTGCACTTTTCCAGCATTTTGTGATACATTTTACAAAAATGCGCAAAACACTTTATATTAGGGGCAGACATTGCACAAATATTAAAAGTCAAGACAACTGCTGCCCACAAGCTTGCATTCCAAAAGACAAAAAAATAAAAGGGAATAAGGCATATACAATATGATGCACCTTCAAAGCCACCAAATACCCGTATAAGTTCCTTGGAAAAGTATCCCTTTCCTCGTCCAAGTGAGAAGCAACACGCATACGCACAAATGTTCAGGACCAACGTTGCAGTCAGGCACTGCCTAGTATGTGTCTAAGACCTGCAGGGAGGGGAAGCGTGCCAGCCCCAAGGCCTGCCCCATCACTGGTTTCGCCCTCCATGCACAAGGGCATCTCTGTAAAGAGGAGCGCTTCCTTTATCTGCGGGAGCACCACATGATGCTGGGAAATCTCCAGGCTGTATGAAGAGTCCCTCCCAAGAGCGGAGGCTCTCCTCTTCCCAAAACTGCCCTCCATGTGGAAAGGGCGATGAGGGCAATGATGGAGGGGGCAGGTGCTGTGCACTCCCCCTCTTCACACATTGCACTGACTCGGAATACTTCAATGGGGCAAGAGGTGACGTTCTAAATGGCCGCATTCCGGAACGAAACTGCACGCTGCAGCTACCATTTGCATCTGTGTGGTAAATGAATAAACGATGAAGTTCCTTGTATAGGCCTCTGTGTATTTTGAGGGAAGAGAGGGCGGTGAATTTACCTGTCTATTACCTGCTATCCTGTCTTTCCTTCCGAGTAGATCAAGACAATATATACTATTCCTCCACTCATTTTTCCTTTTGCAACCCCAGTGAGGTTGGTGAGGCCTGGTGAGTTACATGGATGAGTCGCGATTTGAATCTGAGTTTCCCCAGTCCTAGTCCACCACAAACCACTACATCAGGGGTGGAGTAGATGCAAATGAGGGAGGGGGAGATGAGGCAGAAACCGTCTAAATAAGTTGGCCTTTAAGCAGCCTGTCCTGAGGATGCAGAGGGGGGAACATGTTCAGGTCATCCCAGCTGCTCCTTTTCCCATCACCAGGGAGAGGGAACTTGTGCATTATAGATGCTGCTGGACCATAACCCACATCATCCTGACCACTGAGCATGTTGGCTGGGTCTTAATGGGAACAGCAGTCCCACATCTGGATGACCACAGTCTTCCTGCCCTTGGGCTAAGTCCTCCTTCCTCCTCAGTATCATCAGCAGGAGCATTACAGAAACCCTTTTTGGTAGACTCAGCAACAGATCTGAAAACATAGTGCTCATGCAAAAGTGAAGCAAGTGATTTGCTTTGGTGTGAAAATAAACTCTGTTGCAATACACTGTACAGAAGAAAATAAAAGATTCCCTATGCAGCCAAGCAAAGAAAGCAGCCTCCCTTTAAAGATTTATTTTACTTGACAAAAATTCTGTGCTGCCACAATCTAGGCATATTACTTTTGCATCACAGAAAAGTGACACATAAACCAGACTGAACAGATTCAATCCCCCTATATATAGGAGTAAGAAGAGGAGCAAAGATAAAATAAAGCAAAGAAACAAGTCAGTGTTCTGATTCCAAAAAGGCACAATTCTCCCACCAAAGATAAGGATGAGGCAGTGCCAGACACATCTGACCTAGTAAATCAGGCATAAAAAGTTTCTGGGTTGTGCAAGCATTGCAAAAGGAATGTTCTCCCTTCTTTACGCTATCAAATGACGCAATTCCTAGTGATTGGTTTCCCTTCCTTAAAAAAAAAAAAAAAAGCACAAAATAGTCATTTCCCTTGCCTCCCTTTAAGTGAACAGCCAAAAGAGGCTCTGGATCAAGACCAGTTTTATTACCAGCTTGTGTACACAGTTTCTGCTTCAGGAAATAGGTGGGAGTGAGCAGTTCTAATTACCCTGTCCAATCCCATCTTCCCCACACCCCTCCATGCCCCCACAGAGGATATTTAAGAAACAGGAACTGCTCATGCTGCCATCGCCACATAAAGCCTCAATTATTCTCACTCTCAATAGTTACCATGGCCAACTAGCTGCATTAATTCCACTGTGATGTCACAAGACACCCTAACAAAGCTGTTTGGCTCTCATTTATTACTGAAAGCCCTTTATAAAGGAGCCATTAAAATCAATTTGCCAAAGAGGGTGTAACAATCTTGTTGGAGCAATGGTTTTAAAGCCATGTAACTGCCTTGAATATAGTGGGCATCTACCTAAGCAACACTTAATACTGGGATCTTCCTCTGCTTCCTGAATACCCTTAAATAATCAGTTTACTTCCAACCACAACAGCTACTTTCACAGTTATCAGTTCTGGATGATAAACCATTATACCTGTTAGAAATTTAGCATGCATGGTTATGGTTTGGAGGAGTTTATCTAAAGGCTATTAAGGCATGGTTTAGTTCAGCCTTCACAAATTCATCTTCTGCAAAAATTTTGGACCAGTTGCCATTAGACAGCATAACCAATGATCAGAGATACTGAAGATGCACTTCAAAATGTCAGGAGGGAACCAGTTTGAGGAAGACTCACATAACATTAGGAATACAACTGGGTTCAGACAATATGATAATCCATAAGGGTTCAGTATTGGTTGAGTGTGGACTCCTGCTGAAACATGGATTATCATGTCTGAACCCCACTGCACTAATAAGCCACATACAACCCATGAAAAGAACCTGTGTTTTATTTCTGGGTTGTGAACTGTAGGTTATAAGTGGGTTGAGACAACAGGATAACCCATGGTTCAACAAGTCAGGTTCAATGACAACCTACATGCAACCACTTAGTGTAGGTTATTATGTGTCAACAAGTCTTGGGGTCATTGATTTGCTCTTTTGGTGTTAACTATGTTTACTGGGGGACTGCAGGTGGCGCAGTGGTTTAAACCGTTGTGCTGCTGGGCTGGTTGATCGAAAGGTTGCCGGTTCGAATCTGCACAACGGAGTGAGTTCCCATTGCTCCGTCCCAGCTCCTGCCAACCTTGCAGTTTGAAAGCATGCAAATGCAAGTAGATAAAAAGGTACCACTTCGGTGGGCAGGTAACAGTGTTCCGTGCACTTCGGTGTTTAGCCATGCTGGCCACATGACCACGGAGACTGTCTGCAGACAAACGCTGGCTCCCTCAGCTAGGAAATGGAGATGAGCACCGCCCCCTAGAGTCAGACATGACTGGACGTAACGTCAAGGGGAAACCTTTACCCTTACCTTTATGTTTACTGGAACAAGCCAACTTCAACCCATGCTTTACAACATTGGCTTGTTTTCACAGAACACATGTAAGATTAACCACTGATTGCTAGAGTCAAATGACATGACAAGCTGCAGTTTATCACAATCTGAAGCAAAGGCCTTCAATATCCTCCCAACTCTGCAAGGGGAGGTGGGGAAGGGAGGAGGGAAGTCACAAGTGTAGGGCTGGGACTTGCTGCAGCTGGTCCTCAGAGCTGTGCACTAAGGCTTAGCTTGACCTGGGAACAACTGCAGCTCTTGTACACCCAGGTATGTTGCTCTGTCATGTGGGAAAGGGCCTTAAGAGCCCATTTCATACTTTGTGCAGCAGGTGCTTTTGTAGTGCAGAGCACCACAAACTGTGATGCTGAGAGAGGCTTGCTTATGAGCTCTTGTGATGGGCACTTGCCAGAGAAGCTCCACTGGTTGCAGCTCCCCAATGCTACTGCAAAGAGCAACCGTAGCTCAGTAGCAAGGCACATGCTTTGTATGCAGGAAGTTCCAGGTTCAAGCCTGGGCTTCTTCAGTCCTGGCTAGAAAAAGAGCCTGCTTGAAACCTGGCAGAGATGCTGCCAGTTGGTGTCAACTCAACTGGACTGGACAGGTCTGACTCAGTGTCGGCAACTTCCTATATTCACTTTACACTATCAGGACTTTATCCAGAGAACAAATGGCGGAGCATGTACACAAAGCAAACATGTTCATCATATGAGATCTGAACTACTCGTGGGAATAGCATCATGCCTCAGGGTTTTCCAGGATTTCCGTAAGCCAACAGCTTTAGGTCAGCAGAGTGGATTGTATTTCTTCTGTTAATAAAATGAATTAACCAAAATGCCTCTAAAAAACTATCCCTTTTTGCAGAAAAGGGATTCACTTTGTTACAAAAAAGAGTAGAAAGCAAAACCAAGAAGATGGCTTAAGTTTTGAGAATGGAGGCATTAACAGCTATTTGTGCTTCAAGGATACCATTCTATTTTCAGCTATCTTTAGCAGTTATGCTTCCTGTTTTAAGTTTTGTAGGGGTTTCCCTTGCTGTGCAAGCCTTGGTTGCATTGAT